AGGAATCTTCTCCTCTATCCCTCCTGGATGGATGGAGTGAGATAGATGGATAGACAGATAGATAGATGATAGATAAATGTTGTTTGAAATCTTATGTTTTTATTTTATATTACATATATATTAAAGAAATATTTTGTACCAATTATAAAATTCTGTCTATAAGATGACTGAAGTCTATTTTTGGTTCTTGGTAAAGGTGCTAGTGTTTTGGGGAAACTCTTTTCACGTAATACTGTGCCCCAGACTGGGAAGCCTTTAGTGTCCTTCCTAAGAAACCAACATCCATTTGAAGATATGGGATAAAAACCAATGTTTTAATATTCAAATAAGCTCATGTATCATGGAGTGGAACACAACACACGTGGGCCACCTATCAGGACTAAGCCCATGGGGGTTGTGGCACAGCTCTCACATCCAGCAGGTCTCCTGCCCAAGGTTCTCCTTCCTTCTACAAAGAGGAATGCTGCCCAGGGAGAAAGGGTTAAGAAACTGTGACTAAGTTAATGCTTGTAAGGCAGATAAACAAGAGTTCTTTTCTTTTTCTTCTTATTTTCTTGCTGTTTCCTCCTTCAGTTCCTTGTTTGGTGAGGGTATTTCTGTTTCATTTCTCCCTGGCTGCTCTCCAGTACCCTTTCCTCAATACAAACAACAGTGTGTTAATCTGTCCTCTCCCTCCTCCCTCCTTCTGGATGCTGCTCCTTGGGCTTGGCCTGCACTGAGCTCCCTTTTGTCACACCCTCCTTAAAGGAGTAGTTATTAAAGGTCGACTTTGGGCCAGGTCCTTGCTTGTTACTAGGAAGACGGAAGGCGTGACAAGCACAGAAAACCCCAGGAAAACAACTCATCTCACCTATGAACTCCTGCTGGTGCAAAGAACGTTTACGGAGCCCTGGCTGTGAGCTATTAAGAACAGCATAAAAACAACCTTCACCAGAGATTCTGTCGCTCTTGGCCACCCCCACTACTACTTCAACTGCTTCCAGTTCAGTGGCTTCTCCCAGTGTAGGAGTAGGACTGAATTCACACTGACTGCCCACACCCAGCACCATGTTACTTCATCTCGTAACCTGCAGGGGACACTTGCTTGGCTCTCTTGTGCCTGGAACTCTCCAGATGACCATATGACTTCAAAACAGCCGTGGTTTATTTTGAAACATGGCTCCCTTCCAATGACCCTTTGTTGTTATTCTCTAAGAAGGATCCTTATGAAGTCTGAGGAGTGGTTCTTTTCCTTGTCACAGTGTTGCTTAAAAGCTCTAGTTCTTTTTTTTTTCATTAAAAAAATTAAGTTGCTGTGTTTAAATTGCTGTATGATGTCTTTTAAGATGTTTTCCTAGGCTTCAAGATTGAAGTGAAGTTGAGGGTAGGATTTAAAGAAGAGAGAATCTCTTGCCTGTGGGTAGCTACATAAGTGCTTATCTACAAAAGTGGAAAGACTCTTTCTGAAACTATTGCTTGGGAGAAAAAGTAAGTATGGCTGATGACACATGTGAGTGCAACATTTTTTCTTTAATGACTTATTTGGATCAGCCAGCACTCCATGCCACTACTGAGCCCTCCCCACACCCCATGGGTGTTTAATTACCTCTGTCACTTTCCTGGTATTTTGCCCCTAATAAATAATCTACTCCAGATAGAAGGAAAATATTCAGGAAGGTCAAGATTTCACAGGCTAGTGCACAGAGATCAACAGGTATCTTTCAGACAGTGTTGACAACCCTAAGAATCAGGACAACTGGTTGTTCCAGTAATGGGTTTGTTTCTCTAGTCCATTCTAAGTCATTGAAGTTTAATTACAGAGGATTCTAGAAATACCTACATGCAGCAGTAATCTGCATCTTTGGTGCAATTGTCACTCATTAAAATAAGGACATGCAACAAATGGAGAGTTTAGTTTAGAATCAACTAATATTATAGGCAACCACATCATGAAGGGTCCAAGGTGCACAATATAGATGCCTCAGCCTCATGCCCAAGCTCTAGTAATATCTCCCATCCCTATCCTCTGGCAAACAGGTGCCTCCTGGCCATGCTTTGGGCCTTGAAATGCATGCACTGACCACATGGCACTTCCTTGGAAGTTTGGACCCCAGAGAAGAGGACTTAAAAGTGGGGTGGGTACAGTCTATAAGGGGGGATATGTATTACATGACCATAATGTATTGATTATAATTACATGACCAATATCTTATAATCAATATCTCCCTAGAAATCTATCATCTATCTATTTACCTATTATCTATCTATCTATTATCATCTGTTATCTAGCCATCTGTTTCTTACTGCTTCTGAATCTCTGGAGAACCCTAACACAATAACCAAACAATAACCATGGAAGCTGAAAGACCCCAGGTTCATTCTTGTCAGGGAAGTTTCAGAGCCACCTGCCTTTGAGCAGATCAGATTGTGTTGGAGCACAAACATCCCTGCAGTAGCCAAAGTACACTGAAGATCAGAGGCCTTTCCTTCACTCCATTTCCTGGGCACCAGGAAAGATTTCAGTTGACCTTAGAATCTTAGACTGAGGTAGGATCCCCATGCAGGACAGAGAATTTCTTAATCTCCCTAGCTAGTGGGGAATTTGATTTAGAAAAACCAAAGTAATATGGTATGTGCTATGCTTCATACACTGACATTACAAATATATAAACCACATTATCTATCACATTTACTCAGTAACTCATTTGTTGAGCTGAACAGAGTGTTTCAGAATTCCATTTAAAAGTGAATAGTTATGGACATATCTTGTTACAATGTTTCTTAGAACTAATGAGATTTTTATACTTCTTTATTTAGATGAGAACATTAAGTAAGCTTTCTTTTAAAGTAAATAAGTAGCTGATAGAATGGCTCAAGTGGTAGAGTCCTTTCCTAGCAAACTTGAGGCCCTGAATTCACACCCCAGTGCAGCACAAAAAACCCTGTGACTTAATTAAGTAAATAAATGTGATTCTTTACATCTTTTAAACAAATGTTCAGTTCTCCAAAAGAATTTCTGGTAAATTCTCTGATATAAAATTTTTCTTTAATATAGTGAAATTTAAACAGAATTATAAACTTATAAGAAAGCTGGCAGCAATGGCAGTTTCTGACATTTTTTTCCTCTTTGCATCTTCAAAATAAATTTTTCTTCCTTACTGTGTATAAGTAATACACTCTCTTCTTTAATAAGAGAAGAAATCATATATAGGGAACTAACATTGAGCACAAAATACAATTAGCCTAAGTCACAGATGGGAAAAAAGACTCTGCAAGGATGATTTATGGTCACTTTTAGGCTGTATTTATAAACGGCCTAACAGACTTGATCATGACTTGGCAAAACTGGTTAATGAGTATTCGAGTTAAGGCAGCCTCCTCTGCTGCTGCACTCATTATTTGGTGTGTACCTAGAGAGGTGGTCTTCATGTCTTTATAAATGAACCCGACTTTGTATATGTAAGATATCTTAACCAATAATATGTAAATAGATTTCCTGATTAAAATGGATGTTTACATAGGGATTGCATACATTATTACAGTCGCCCCTGCATTTCCCCGGGTTCTGCACTGAAGATTCAACCACAAGAGATGGAGAATATTGAAAAAAAAATTACATTTGCCCTGAACACAGACAGATGTTGTTTCCTTGTCATCATTCCCTTAACGACGCAATGTAGCAACTATTTACAAAGCATTCACATTGTATTTGGTATTGTAAGTAATCTAGAGATGATTTGAAGTATACAGGAGGATGGGTGTTGATTATATGCAAATTCTATAATATTGAATATAAGAGGCTCAATCATATGCAGATTTTGTTACCCACAAAGAGTCCTGGAACCAATCCCTGAAGATATGGAGGGACTGAGGGACAGTCATATTTTTGGGGTTGTGCCAATATCTGAGGTAACAGCCAAAATTCTTTATGAGCAGGAAGGCAAGATCACCAACTAATCAGAATAGAAAAAGAGGGAGTTGCCATAGTTTGGACATAAACTAGTTTCCTCTTGCAGTTCCCAAATGTACTACAACTGCTTGGTTCATCCACCTTTCCCTTTGTGAGTCTGTCATCCACCCAGATCCATGTCTACCATTATGACTTTGAAGCAGTAATTTGGAAAGGAAGCAGAACAGATGTTTTGAAATGTCATGCTAAGGTGCTATGACTGTCCCTGGGAGTCCCAGTGTACTGAGCCCCTGGAATAAAAAGACCAAAAAGAAAAAAAGGGGAGGAGGCCGTAGAATAAACAATTATGTTTACATACCTTACTCTTCTATTGTACTCTGCCCATAACCGAGACTGTAGTATCAGGAAGAGGGAAGGAAGTTGCTAAAAAGACAATGGAATAGTAAAAATGTTTCTCAGCTGCTAGATTTTTTTGTAAAAGGTTTCTATTAAATTGAAAGGATGCCATTAGGAAACCCTAAATGTGTAACTGTTCTGTAGGCTGCAATTGCCCTCCATCACTAGGACTGGCTGTTTGGGCAGGAGATGTGGTAGATTCAGCCAGGATGCCCTGCCAAAGACATGATGGAGGTCAGACCTGAGTTTGGTAGTGTCCTGGCTCCCAGTCTTTTGCCCTCAGTTTTGTGTCTGAAAACAACTCCAAACACAAGTTTCAATACTGTGTCATTTCATCATAAACACTTCAGATTTATTATGCCATTTACTGAATACATTTTCCTTTTTACTGAAATTTTGTCCAAAAGACTAACTTTAAAAAATCATTTAATGAATTTGAATGGAGAGAAAAGGGCATAGATCCCTGTGTTAAGCAGGACTGTATGAAATAACAACTTTGATTTGTTTAGAAAAATCTATTAGGTCAAGAAAAATATGGGTTTTCAAGCTTCTCTTGTGGAGTATTTTATTGTGTTTTTTACTCTAGGGAAGAAAAACGCATTTGCAGCTTACAATTTTAAATGAAAATAACTGCTTTTGCTTATTCTACAGCTAGCTTTTTTGTAAAGCACAGTGACCACACATAGACAACAATGACCAAAGCACTGACTGCAAATGAGATTTTGTTTGCAACTTTTAATTAGCCAACCTATGCAAACATTATTTTTTGTCTCTTCAACATTAGGAAGAAAGAAAATGACCACACATGGGGGGCCGGTGGACAACCAGATTTCAAAGCAGCAGTTTAGAGAGGCAGTGTCTTGCCCTCAGTATTCCTCAGGATGGCTTGATTGTAAGTCTCGCAAATATGAATCAATTATGTTTGGAGGCACGCCTTGCAAAAGGAGCCTGCAGAAGGACAACCCACCTAGAGAGATGAAAAGAAAAAGGCAAAAGTCAAAACCATCTATGTGAAAAGTCGCTGAAACAGAACTACTGGACTAGCTGCCTGGAAGTGTGACCAAGTATGTTCCCATTAGCTACAAATATCCATCTAGTCCCTACTTGGAAGTCTTCTTGTCTTAGTACATTTAGAATTTAAAGCACTTGAGTCCAGATGGAAGAGTGAGTTCCCAACACAACCATAGCAGCTTATTTCCCCACTATTGTTCAATTTTCATTTAGATTCCTAAATAGTTGAAAGTACTTATTGCTCCTTGACAAGGTTTTGTGATTCTTCTATAGATAATCTAAAGGTTCTGACTGAATGGTACAATAAATGTATTCCCTGTTACGGATCAGCAGGAAGACATGTTTCCAATTTGTTAACGTCCTTTTAAATTAAGCACAAAAAGTACTATTTCAAGTACACTGGAGAATTAAAAACAATTCTCTTTAACTTTGGCCACTTATAAACTGTTAAAAGTGCAAAACTTGGAACTATTTTGTTAAAAATAGGAAGACTGAAGCTGGGTGTGGTGGCATATGGTTATAATCCCAGCACTTGGAAGGCTGAGGCAGAAGGACTGCAAGTTCAAGGCTAGCCTGGGCTACACAGTGAGATCCTTTCTTAAAAACAAAACAAAATAAGCACAAAAATAGTAAGAGTGAAGGCAAGAGAAATGCCTACTAATAGTTTATACCTACCTTCTGAGATTCAGAATTATATTTTTTAAAAGTACCATTCAAGAAAGAACCCATGAAACCACAAAACTGCATGGTCCTTTAATGAAATGCCTCACTACTTACTAATAAATTCATGACCAAACAACAACAGCATGCCATTTGAGCATTCCTAAAATTTCTTGAATGCAAATTTGAGAAAGTCATTCTCCTTTAAAAAAGAAAAAACTCAAGTCACATATTGGTAGAAATAATGCCGCTTAATGTACACGTCCATTCCTTGATGCAAAGAATTCAGAACGCATGGGTATCATTCATTCTCACCTACATTAAATGCTTTGATGCATGCTCTACCGCATTCAACAACTTGCTTCATGTCAACAGGAGATCGTTGGGGTGAATAAGTGCTAGCTGTTAATTTCAAGATACTGGAATGCAAATGAAAACTACAAAGTTAGCCATTTTAACGAGTCTATTTTCATTGGATTACATAATGAAAATCATGCCATACTCCACAGGCTTCGTATGGCTTATGCCAGTCATAAGCTTCATATGCCAAAACCATATGAAAGCTTACCTTAGATGACAATCTACATTCAAAAATCCTTACTGTGCTACCACTAAGGAAAAGAGAGAAAGAAAGAGAGAAAGAGAAGTTGTAAGCACTAATAAATTGCTAACACCAAAGTTGAGTACTTGCTGCAGATGAAATTATGGTCACAATTATGATGAGGTGATTTCATTAATCCTTAGTCATGGAATGAAGGGTGAGGATCCAGTCACTTCAAAGGGATCATTAATTATTAATATGCACAACCACTTTGCCTGAAGAGTCGGCAAAGCCAATCTGATGGTACAGTGAATATTTATGGTAAGAGCTTCCAAACCATTAGCTTAAAAAAAAAACAAAAACCCTACAACATATATATATCTTGTTTTTCAACAAAAGAAAAACATAGACAATATACAAGATGTTAGTGTCCATATATATATGTTGAAATTCCAAAAGGCAAAATTATCAAGCATAAATATTAGACTAGTGCATTCTGCAATATTCTATTCTAAACTGATTATGTATAACTGACCTAAATGAATGCCAGGCTTAAACTCAGGCTACCAAATGACTATATGTATAACTTTGAAGCAGTTAACTCTATTTTTTCCCCTTCAAGGATGAAGGGGAAATTCAGAAACTAATACTGTAAACTCAGGCATAGATTTACATTAGAGTTTACATCAGGTTGTGTACAGAGTTTACATCAGCTCCAAGGGACTCTTAATTAGCTTTTCTGAATGGGGGCAAATCACCTATGTATAATAGGACTCATTCATGACTTGATACGTCTTGTAGAGAATCCTAAACTTTTCCTTCATCTTTTTTTTGGCAGTCCTAGGGTTTGAACTCAGGACCTCACGCTTGCTAGGCAGGTGCTCTACCACTTCAGCCACTCCACCAATCCTTTACCTTTAAGTTCATAAATGTATGAAATAATTTGGGTCTCATGAAAATGTGAAACAGATAAATAGGTTACAGATAGTTTACTTGTGAATCTGTAATTGGAAAATCTTACATATAAGAGTTTCCAAATATTGGACCTATTTTTATATCTCCCTCCATCAAAAATGCACAGAACACTTTCGTTTTTACCACCTAACAAGTTCAAAATGTTTAGTTTCTGAATTTCATCATGAATCGAAGGAAATCATGCTATAAATTATCCTGAGGGATGAACATCTCTTTGTACATTTGAAAAATAAAGATATTAAATAAAGGGCATAACTATTACCTAAGTCTCAAGTTTTGGTAATCTTACTATATAAAATAAGGTTATCTATGGGGATATGTGGTAGTCCTTAATTTCTAACAAAATGTATTATTTCTACATAATGTCCTTGAATAATTTGGCCTTCCTCGTTCATAGCATAAACACTGTATGCCATGAGCTGCTAAAAACTATGATTAAAAGCAAATGGAAAGTCAAGCTTTACATGCAAAGTGCGTTTTCATGTAAGAGGAATGGAACGGAAAGTAAAAGTATCCAGTGGGATATGAACTTTTTAAACCTGTTGCTGCCCCTCCAGGAAGACTGGTTGTCCAGGGGAATTTACGCCTTGATATATCACTGCAGAATTAGAATATTTGTACCAGTATTTATTTATTCTCAGTTGACATTCTTACCTTCTTTTTACACAGTTTAACTTGATTCAATTCACCTCTTATCAGATAACAATCTGATGATAATCAATCTCAGCTTTACTTTTAGGACCAAAAGCTTTTGTCAAGAAATCACAGTTGATATCATGAACTTACATATTAAATACAATATTCTATTGAATTACTCTATCATTTACAATACAGTTGCTGAAAAAAAGAATATAATATCTGTACACATGACATTAGTTGCTTTTATGGGAGGCCCCAAATGTTGAACCATATCATTTATGTCATTAACAACATTTACTTGTTTTCAAAGCATGAATGCGTGGTTATTTTTATTGTTCAGGTGGTATTGAAACTTAAGTGTCATTAGTAATACCTTGGAATTAATAAGGCTAGGAGTGTAGAAATCAGATGATTTGCAAATGTGACTTTTACCATCATTTAGAGTGAATAAAGAAGCTAAAAATGTATTTAAGTTTATAAGGACTATCTCCATAGTAAGGTTTGAATTTTTCTAGGCATATTATATGACTTTTATTTATAAGATAAAAACAAAATGTTTCCTATCAGTCAATTATGAAGTTACTATGCCGTATAGCTGAGGACCAGTGGAAATCCTATGGGAAAGAAAACTTATAAAAGGACATTATTTTGTTCAAGAAGTTTCTTATACAGTATTTATACTAAATTTAGGACTAAAAGACTTATAAAAACCCAAAATATCCTAAGCATTTACTATTTTCTAACATAGCTATTTACAAAGTAATCCCCCTGATTTTTCAATTATAATTTCATCATTGTTGAGACATAGGAAAAACAGAGACACTGGTTATCAAAGAGTGGTAATAAGATAGAGTTAAGAGTGACAGAAAGCACATTAGCATCATGTCATCTAGTATCTCATTACGACTTCCACAGGGGTTCTCACAGTGTCCTAAAGTACGTTTTGATTGTCAAGAAAAAGTACAGAATAAAAATTATAGTTGATTCATATGAAAATTAATTAAGATGACAGTTTATGCTGAGATTTTCTACCACATAAATCCTCATGTGTTTTCTTGGTTTACATTAGTCACCACATTTCTTAAATGAAATGTGTCTTATAAATACAAATTCTCTAGTTGGCAATTTTATATGTATGCTATATTCTATATGCATAATATCAAATACTAAATTAACAAACCTATTCTTAAGTATGCATAGAGGTTTCACAGATTAGTAAGCTTATTAAAATAATAGAACTTGTTTAAGTGCAGTTTCATTGATGCATTTTTGTACTAGGGTTCTCTTTATAGCTAGAATAAGTCTCCAAAACAATAACCCTTTCACTTTATGCATTCTCACATGCTGTATGCTTTACAAATATTTCACTGAAGTTACTATTCCTTTAGTTATCAGAATGGCAAAAGATAAAAATTAAGTCAACTTCAATACTCTAGTGGCCTTTAAAAACTAAATCACAGTGATTGCATAATGTCATCTGTCCCCTTATTCTCTCCTCCATTCCCTCACCATCAACACCACCACCCCTACCCTACTTGGAGCATTTTTGCAAATGGTTCAGATTTTGCATTAAGAACCATCACTAAATGACTTTGCTTAACTTTAGTCTAGAGGTGAGATCTTGAGTGGCATACCTTTCACCTCCAGCTTGCATTCGATCTCCACTGTCCCAAGGTCATTGACTGCTTTGCAGCAGTAAGTGCCTCCATCATAGGGGCTGGGCTTGCGAATCTCCAGAGTACAGACTCCCTGGTTGCTGAACATCCTGTATCTCGGGTCATCCACAATAGCCACTTTGTTTTTCATCCAGGTTATTTTGGGCTGAAGTTCAGATCAAATAAGGTTAAGTCAAAACTTATCTCTATGTAGCATATTAATAGGTCATCAAGTTGAGTGACAGAATCTTAAAGCATGGTTCAGAAAGAAAACATGTGTACAAAGAACAGACAGCTACTTGGGCATTGTTTCCTTCTAATGAAATTCTACTTAATGCATGGAAGAAAGCAGATAGGCAGTTCTGAGAAGAAAGTTAGGCTTGTTCAGAGGACAGCTCTGGGGCAATCTTCCCAGATGGAGTTAGCAGCATTTCAATTTGACCTACCTAGGTATAAATGTGCTGTTCTAAGATACACAAGTTCTGGGCATCCGGTGAACAGCATGGTGGTGCTGGGGTGTTCATTAATTTGATGGTGACAATCATTGTACGATGTGTTTGTATATTAAATCATCTCACTGTGCATCTTAAATATACTTTGTCAATTAAATATTTTCTCATTTTAAAAGTTGATTTGTAATCTTTTTAACTCATCTTAGAGAGCGTATGGTGTTGGGCAGTTTTTAAAGAATCCCCACAAAGTATCATGACCATCTGATTTTCTCTATTTCCTTTCCTATTTTTTTGGTGGCACTGGGGTTTGAACTCAAACTTCTCTCTACCTCTTGAACCACACCCCCAGACCTTTTTAGCTTTGACTATTTTTCAGGTTAGTCTCCCAGTCTTGCCTGGGGCCAACCTCAGACCATGCTCTTGCTACCTATGGCCTTCTGTATAGCTGGAATGACAGGTGTTTGTCACCGTTGCCCAGCTTATTGGCTGAGATGGGGGTCTCACTAATTTTTTGTCTGAGCTGCCCTCAAATTGCCATACTGCCAATATCCACCTCCCGGGTAGTTGGGTTTACAAGTATAAGCCATCATTCCCAGCCTTTTTTTAATTCTTCATAGGCTTCAATGCCTCCTCATCACTTCATTCCCTCTCTGGCATCTGTATTCATCATCTCGTGGTAACCAGTCTGCTCCAAGCAGATAATACAAGATCGGGAATGACAGGGTCATCAGGAAGGTGATGCCGTTCTCCTTGACTTTGGATCCACATTTGCAATCAGTGACCGTCCATCCCCTTCTGTCTACTCCTCCCACTAAACACACACTCTGCACAATCTTTCCACCTTTTGTATCACTGTGTCTCGTTCAGAACCGAGAGATGGCATCTTTTCTGTCTCCTTCATGTAATTCTCATCCTCCTTCCACCGTTCAGTTGGAGTGTTTCCTCAGGCTCACACCTTGGTCCTTCAGTTTTCACTCATTGCCCTCTTTCCTAAATGATGCTCCTTTGTAGAGCTTTGGTTCCAAAGGATGAAATGTCACACCCTCGTGTTGAGACTCTCAACCTGGGAGTAAGGGACTTGGACTTTCTCCTAAGCTCTGGGTGCTTCCGTGTCCTTCCTACTTGGATGTATAATATCCCTTTCATTTACACATTATGTCAGCATCTTCCTCTCAGGCTTGATCTGGCTTCTCCCTTTGACTTCCCTTCTTTTTTCAAGATAATATAAGAAAATACCACTGTTACAATTTTCCAAAATTCTAGGACACTATCCATCCAGAGATACATCTTTCTGTGGACAATGTTCATTAGTTCAGTATTATTTTTAACCACCAATAACATGAAATCCTTTGAAAAAAATCTCTTTGATCAGGTGTGACCTCTCCAATCTCAACATACTGCACCCTTATCAAAAACATTTTATATTCTGCTTTGGATTACAGTGTAATTGTTATTTATGTTAATCTGATACAGAACTCTTGGTGAATCAACAGCATCACCTAATTTTTACTTCATTTCTTTACTTCTAGCTCTTTTAAAATTGGGTGTTTTTCAAAAAAAAATTAGGTTTTTCTTTTTCTTAGAAGAAATGGAAGCATTTTTTTTTTTACTGCTACATTTGAATAGTGTTACAACTAATTATCTACCAACACCAGCACGCTCCACTCCCCCCATCCTGAAAAACACAAATGGCAGCTGGAAGTCCCATTTGTATGATCACTTACCATTATAACATGGAAATATAAAAAAGGGACTTTGGGGACCATTCTTTCAGTTTAAGTACTGTGATAGAAAAGCATGGTACCTTAGGATTTCCTCTCACACTGCAGTTCAGGGTGGCATTATAACCAGCTATAGCATAGGTGTTAACCAAAGGCTGAGTAAACATGGGTGCTTCTGTGAAATCAAAGTCGTCATACACTGGGTTTTTGTAGATTTTACCTAAAAAACAAGCATTAAAATATGTTGAAAAATACAAATTGGCCTAAGAATGTATTATTCTTGGCATACTTTACTCATGATTAAAACATCCCTGAAGTTAGAAAATCATGAGTGGATGCCCCATGGCATGTATTCTATACACGTGTCGTTGGTTACACACAAGACACAAATCCAGAGTGGTCATCTGACACTAAACGAAATATTGAGATAACTTTGTTGTCTTTCTGAGCATTTTGACCAGAAATTTGTTCTACTGCAAAAACTACAAGGAAGAGCTTAGAAGAAGAGAGATTTATGATGAAATGAAATGATCAAGGTAGAATTTAGGGGCTGAGGACCTGGCTCAAGTGGTAGAGTGCTTGCCTAGCAAGCACAATGGCCTGATTTCAAAACCCCAGTGCCACCAAAGGAGAAAAAAATTTAAAAAAAGAAACTTAGCTTTTTCTTTCTTTGCAGAGTGGATCCCATGTATAACTACATTGAAAGTGCCCAAGAATTAAAACAACAGAAGGAAATCCAAGAAGAACATGTCTAGTTTTTCTAATCTCTGACATAAGCCACTTGCAGGTTCACTTGCCCATAGATAAATATTAAATAGATTAAAACTTATATTTATACAAATGCAATAATGTAATTTCTCTTGAAAAATTTTAATTGTAAAACTAAAATTCTACTTGCATAATGTTACCATAATTTTCTATTGTATGATCACCATTTTCTTATTCCTTTTGTAATTTAATTTAATATTTTATTTTAGCAGTACTGGGGTTTGAACTCAGGGCCTCACACTTGCTGGGCAGGTGTTCTACCACTTGAGCTACTCCACCAGCCCTTCTTATTCCCTTTTGCAGATCTCTTCTTTCGATCTTCTCCATCTTGTCAACCATGGTTTCCAGTTCCCAACTCACCATCCTTGGCAATCAGGGCACTCTCTTTAGTCATTGTGGCATCCTCACTGAGGCCACACATGTTTTCAGCAAAGACCCGGAAGTAATATTCATTCCCGATGACCAGTTCAGTAATGGTGGCATTGGTTCGGTGATAATGCTCAATGACAGTAAACCATTCCTGAAAGGAAAAATAACAATAAAAATTTAGGAAAATCATCTAAAAAGACACAATGTTTCTAACTGTTAGTTGGAATAAGAAACAAGGATGTTTCATTAGTGAAAAGAAAAAACAGAATTAATTTTTATATTGAGAGCAATGGCAATACTTAATTTTCTTGATGGTTTATAATTTGTTTACACTTGACTATGCAATTTGATCTTCATTTACACATTGGATTCATAGCCCTGAATGTCCTCTTCTATTAATCTTTGTATTTTCATCATAACCATACAATGTCTGTCAGCTACTTATCTATCTACCTATCTATCTAGTCATCTATTGTAGAACAAAGAATAATCATTGAATTTTAGTGCTAACTTATCTATTATGAGGAAGAGATGATGCTAACTCATTAGAAAAAATTAATACTGTCCAATAAATTTGCCTAATATTATGAACCTAGGTTCTTTCAGACATCGCCCTCTACCCCACTTGCTTCCCCTCCCACCATACCATCTTCACCACTTTGGCCATACTCTGTCATCTTAAACTGGATGCTTTTTTTTTTTCTATAGCACTTGCTATATTATGTTATTATATTGTACATATATTTATACATTTATTTTACTTGTTTACTCTCTACCTCCCTTCTAGAATGGACACACTGTAACAGAAAGCCTGACAACTCACCTCTTGTATCCACAGTGCTTATCACACTACCTAGTAGATATGTTTCACAAAATATTTATTGAGTGCTAATGAATAAATGAGTAAGTTAGAGCTATGCTACAACTTTTTTTCAATTTCTTTCCATACCTAGAGTTATATCAAAAATTATCACACCAAAGGGATGGCAGAGTGGCTCAAACGGTAAGAGCTCCTGCTTAGCAAACATGAGGCCCTGAGTTCAAACCCCAGTGCCGCAAAAAAAAAAAAAAAATTACCATACTAAGAATTATAGTGGTTTCTAAGTTTATCTTGAAACCAATAAAAAAACCACATTATACCACATATGTTTAGTACTATTAATTGAGAAAAAGACATTTGATAACAAAAAAGACAACTTCATAAATGAAAAGCATTTTTCTTGGAAATTTGAGAAGCCAACATTGTCTACAAATTTTGGATATTTCAAATACCAGACCAACGTAGTGTGCCTTCCTTTATTTCCAAAGCACTTTATCTAAACTTTTATTATATTGTGCTGTGAGTAGTTCTGATGTTTTTCTTGCCTTGACTGTGAGTGCCCTGAGAGCAGGAGTTGTTTATTTAGGTCTGGTAGCTACAACAGTGCTCAACACCTAATAAGTAAATGAATGAGTGAATATAAGGAAATAATGCTGCTGGGAGGCATGAATGACTATGGGAATTTGCAACCACACTGAGACAATGGCAAGTTGATTTTCTTGGGAACGTGGCAGAATGAGCACCTTCTGGTCTCTAGGTCCACCCCTGCTGAAATACAACAGAAACCAAGGGTATGGGGGTCTCACTAGACAGATCTCAGTCACTTTCAACAGCAGAAAAGTCCTGCCCACCTAGACTTGTCTGGATATCTAACCTTTCAAATCTTTCTTTTCTAGAAGGTATTTGCCTTTTTTTTCCCCTCTTAACTATAAGTCCATAGCATCCAACTTTTATTTCACAAAGAAGTGTTGCATAGCTTATATCTGCACCAACTGATTCAGACCCTAGAGTGAGTTAAAGATTCAGTGAATGGATGAGTTTACTGAGTTCTGCTGAGCACTGTACCAGCTGCTTTATGTTGGTTTGTACTCATTATTTTATAATCACCAAGCAAGGTAAGCATCTGTGCCTCCATTTTTCAGCCATGGGAAATGGAGACCAAGGAGATCAAGTGATTGGTCAAGTACATGTGTCTTAAGTGGCACTGCCAGGATTCAAGCCCAGCTCTGAGGCTCCAAAGGCCTCACCATCCCTGCTGTGTCACATACTGCTCCATGGTCTCCTCAGGCTCCTCACTAGAGAGGACCTTAGGCCACCCCATTACCTCTGATGAAATGTGATTTTGTGCCTGCCACTGAACAAATCCAAGGAATCCAGGCCTTACCATGCTCTTCTTGTCAGCCTTCTGGATCGTGTATCCTGTGATGGCAGCATTTCCATCGTCCTTTGGTGGTATCCACGTTAGAGCGACATTTTCTCCCCAGACATCTTCAATATTCACAGCTTGGGGTGGACCTGGACGGTCTGTAGGTTGAATTCATGGCATCACTGTGAGGTTACTTTCCACTTCCAATCTAACCTGGCTCCACAAGGACATTTTAATATCTCTTTCCCTGTGTTACAGGGGACAGTGCTCTTCCAGACCCTATCCTAGGGACTTCTGAGACCCTCTGGTTGACTCAAGTGGAGCCAGACCAGAGCCAGTCTCTCATACCTCTCAACAAAACCAAAGAAGATTTAGTGAGAGAAAAAAGACTGCTTAGTTCAAAGAGCATGACCTTTCACCCAAAATGGGCTAACCAAAGTTGTCCCTTGGAACCTTAAGTTTCAACAAATTTACTGAAAAATAATCATAAAAATATTGGAAACAAGGCTTCTCCTATCTGCCCTTAAATTGCTTTCTTTCTCTTTCTCTCTCTTATTTATTTATTTATTTATTTATTTATTTAGAGACAGGGTCTTACTATGTAGCTCAGGCTGGAGTTGAACCTATAATCTTCCTGCCTCCACCTTCTAAGTGCTGAGGTTTACAAGTGTGTACCACCATGCCCAGTTCTAAAATTTATTTCTTGACATTTTTAAAATCATAGAACATGTTATTGAAGCAAGAGGGGGCACCCATATGGGATCCCTGCTCTGTTCCCTTAATTCTGGGTAAAAGAAAAAATGAACCATATTTTATTCTTCGTTATTTAACTAGCCCCAAGGATCAACCCATTCAGGGTTCGTTTAGGTTCATCCATGCTACACTGAATAAAAATTCTTCATTCTCTATTTAAACTTGATAATTAATGAATTTAGGTGTAGTAAGAAACATACTAAACTATACCTAGAATCTACAGTATTTCTTCATGCAAGAATTCAACATAGGAAATAGTTTTACAATGGGGATTAAGAGAGAGCCAAATTGTCAAGCAGTAGAAATGATTTCACTAAAAGTACATATATTAATTTTCTTGAACATACATCCTTTAGTCTCTTGTGATTGGTACTTTTAGTCAGTGAAAAGTTATTTTGAAATGATTAAAAAAACTTACTAAATCATCTATTTTTATCATTAAAAGGAATTTTATTCAGAGCCAGTCTAACAAAAATTCCTATCCCTCCCTTAATGACAAGTACAATTAGTTCCCATACTAATATATATATTACTTGTCATTAACAGAATGTTCTGTTCCTTGCTCCAAACCTACCAACGACCTGGATGTCAATGGAGGCGGTTTCCATGTATTTGTCCACTTTGACCTGTAGGTCATACTTCCCAGAGTGACTCCTCTCTGCTTTTCTGATAAATATGATTGTATCAGTCTCAGAGTTGCGAATGTTGATTTGATTCTTATCAATTTCTTTACCGTCCTTCTTCCAAGTTAATTCTGGTCTAGGTTTGCCCTTGGGGGTGTGGAGGGGGAGGAAAAGACAGAAAAAGTGGAGGTAAGATACGAGATTGTCTTGAGAAATTTTTTTTTCAACATCACAAGAATGACATTGGTTGAGGTGGGAGTGGGGTGGGGGAAGCCCAAATAATGTATACACATGTAAGTAAATGTAAAAATGACAAAATAAAATTAAAAAATAAAAATAAAAGATGATTTTATGTTTGAATATCATAAGAAAAAAACCAAAACGGTATTGCAAAAATAAAACAAAATATGCAAATCTCTAAGAGTGGGATTTGCAGATTTGCACAGTATTTCATTTATACTAAATGGGATTTAATTAAATGGAGCTAAAAAAAAATGACACTGGCCTAACTTATTCTAGGCAAGGTTGAAAACTGCCACTACCTCTTAGCAGAAAGCCACTGTCTGTTGATTTCTTCTGTGTGTGGGGCATATGACATTTATTCGTTCTCTTAATCTCCACATCAAGATAAGAATCACGATCCTCCTTCTTGAATACAGAAATTAAATGATTTGCTCAGGGTAAGAAAGTGCTGGAAGGAAGTCTTACAGCGGGTCTGTCAGGCTCTAAAACCTGCACAACGCAGGGTCACGGTCAAGAGCATGAGCTCTGGGGCCCTGGAATCTGTATTTGGAGCCTTACCACTGGATAGCTATGAGACCCTGCCTGTTTCCTAATCTGTAGAACAGGAACAACAGCATTACCTGTCCATCAGGATGGTTTTAAAGACTGAAGTCTTAACAAAGCTTCTGCAAATTACAAAAATGTTTATTAGTATCAGCTAAAGGCTAGTGACTATTATTGTACTGTACTGAGCTGCTCATTCTGGACTTGTCTAGAATTCTCTCTCTAGCTGCTGATATTATTGTTTAAGAATACACTTTAAGAAATTTTAATTTCTTTCATAGGAGTGTCAGTTTCTATTACAAAGGAAATTTCTAGAATTCCTGAGCACCCAGGCTCACTCCCTCCAGCCACAGAATAGCATTAATTAAAGAATTCATTAGAGCATAGCTTTTCTATGTGCTCTGTGCATGTGGCTGGGTTATGACAAGGGATGTGGGATACACACTGACATGCTGTCCATGGAACTTGAAGAGGGCTTGCGGGGTGCTTGGATTTGCACATGGGAAGCAGAGAAAGATAGTTCCACGTTTCCTTCAAAGTACAACTTGCTACTGGGGAAAAACAAGAGTTCCCTAATAACATATGGAGTGAAAAACAGCAGTGATAAGGGGACATAGGCTCTACTCTTGGCACTAGCATTTACTTGTTGTGTGACCTTGAGCAAGTCACTTAACTTCCCTGTCAGTGAGGGGAAGGAAATCTACCTTTCCTGCCTCACTTGGTGTTCCTGCTGATCAAATAAGAAATGTCTAGAACTCTAGAGGTTATGAAGACATGCACACTATTCTCTTACTGCTTCCTGGTGACCAAACAGCCCCTGGCATGCCAAGCCTGAGGCCATTCTCACATTCTTTTCTCTCCCAGATCCAGTGAAGGAAACTGGATTCACAGACCCCCAAGATCTGGGATGTGGAGAGTGAGCCCTGGTGGTATGAATGATGAGGAAACCAGAGGGTGGGTTCATTCAGCAGCCTCAGTGCAGTGCTGGAGCTGGAACTCAAGTCCCTGTCTTGCCACCACTCCCAGCTCTGTTGGAGGCTGGGAGAGGAGAGAAGTGGTAGAGCCTTGCCAAGCCCGGGCCTTCCTTCTATGCTGTGTTCCTGCCTTGTACTCCCCTTGACTTTGGTTCTGATGTCAGACACTGTATATGTTATAAATGACCACCTCTTCTGAGGCTTGGGCTCTGTGTGTGTGCCTGAGTGTGAGTTCACCTGTGTGTAGAGACCCAAATTGTAAGTCAAGGCCATGCTGCCTGCTACAACAGTCATGAGCTACATACAACTATTTAAATTAAAATTAATCAAGATGAAAGAAAATCAAAACTTTATTTTTCCTGTTGTATTAGTTCCCAGAGGCTACCACATTAGATAGTGCATATGTAAAACATTTCCACATCATCGCAGAAAATTCTATTCAACAGCATTGTCTAGAGGCATAAAAGAATCACATGAGCAGGGACTGGAGAGAGGCGTGTGTGTGTGTGTGTGTGTGTGTGTGTGTGTATACACATGCATGGGTACATGGGACCAAAACTGATTATTGTAAACTAAATTCTTTGGCTGGAGCACTGATTTAACAATGAGCCTGTACTTCAGTTACTGGCATCAACATTTCACATTTCAGTCATACCTCTTTATTGGAATTTTGTTTGGTTTGGGGTCATTGTGAGAACTCAAGGCATATTGTTTTCAAATGTTATACTGAGAGCTTTCCTTCAAATGATCAGTGTTATAGGTAGCTAGGACCAGAGAGAATCTTCTAGTATTTCTTCATTTAGTCTCTCTGATATTCCAACCCTGAGCCTCAGGCAAAACTAATCTCATTTGTTTCATGAGAAGGAAAATCTGACAGTTCTGTAGATTTCTGTACTTCTATAGCAGGAGATTCTTTAATTGCTCTCCAAAGCTCTCTGTCTGAGGAAATCTTGACCTGTGATAAAGTTCCTTCTACCTCTTCGACACCCAGCCCTGGAAAGGGAAAATGAAGGCCTCTTAAATTGTTACCTGGAAAGGTATAACCAGATTGACTGCTTCTCCAACTCTGCGGATATAGGTTTGCTTCAGGTGTCTTGGGATGCGAATCTTTGGAGGCTCTGGAAAGAGTGAAATAGCATAATTTTGCAATCAGTGCAGTATTCTGGAAGTGGCCGTGTGGGAGCAAGGCATGAAGTTCACTGGCCTACCCTTGTAGTCACGTCTGCCATATAATCTTAGATGTGCCACTAACAAAGTACATATGTAACGTTAGTCCAAACTTTTTTTTTTTTCTTTTGATGGTACTGGGGTTTGAACTTGGGGCCTTGCTCTTGCTAGGCAGGTGCTCTACCATTTAAGTTATTTTTCAGCTGGGGTGTGACATTTTTGCTCAGGTCAGCCTGGACTATAATCCTCCTATTTATACTTCCTGCATAACTGAGATGACAGGTACACACCACCACGCTTGACTTATTGGTTGAGATAAGGTCTCACTAACTTTTCCCTTGGGTTTGTCATGAACATCCATTCTTCTGATCACCTCCCAAATAGCTGGGGTTACAGATGTGTGCCACTGCACTCAGCCCCAAACTATTTTCTTCAAGCAGAGGCGTTTTAATAGTTTAATTCAGCAAAATTAATCCTTGACCTAACTTTATTTCAGCTTTGTGTTTTTTATTGTTGTTATAGACCTCAAGCAATTATTTAGAAGGCATCTAAATTATCTCTAAGGACCTTACACACATTAACAATAAGACTATTTTCCAATAAACATTCCGTAAGAGAGCTACAAGTACCATTTAGCTGCTGATTCTTTCTCATTAGGAAACAAAAATTTTAGCACCCAGCACTTGCTACTTAGGTAACCCTACTGGAGTGTAATAGTCACTCTCCCTGTGTAGCTATGAGGAAGGACATACTAGGCAGCCAGTCCTAGCCCACTGTGCATTGATATTCATTAATTAAACACCATTTAGATATGAGGCTGCTCCAAAGCCATCAGAGCAGGAAGGCAAAGGCTCATGGATTCACAGGCATGAAGCAGGTGTGACAGACACTGGACCAAACACTTTACATGAATAGTTTAAATGTCACAGCCATCTTGTGAAGTAGGTACTGTTTTCACTTAACGATAAGGACAGTGAAAGATGAGGGGTCAAATAACTTGCCCAAGGTCACACAATCAGGATTAGAACCAGGATTAGCATGCAGAACAAGGGCTCTGGCTCAAAGTATAGACTTTGGAGTCAGAGAGATCTAGCTTTGAGTCCTAGATCAGACAGTAGATCTGGCCTTGGTCTCTTTTCCATAAAGTGAAAATGACAGCAGCATATCTAATTCTAATCATAGAACTGTTGTAAGGCTTAAAATTAAGTCATCTACATAAAGCATTTAGCATAATGACGAGGATAGGAAGTGCTCCTTGACAGCGGTTGAACACTAGGGTTAGAAGGGAATTTATAGATCCTCTAACCCCCTAACATTATATAAGGAAGTAGAAACCCAGCAAAGTCCCAAAGCAAATTAAACAACCACCACCACAATAATATTCACAATAATGGTTTTAAAAGCTGACACACTTGAGGCTTATTATATGGGAAGCACTCTTTTAAGCAAGTAGCATCATAGTATTAAAATATTTAACAGACCCTCAGAAGCTTTGGTTCATGTGGGCTATATCTATTACCATGTTAAAGTTAAAACTGAGAAATTTTGGAAACATGTACTTGTTCATTTAAAAACAGCAAGGAACATTTTGATGAAAAAACCACCATATTTTATATTAGCAAAGAATTTAGCAAGGTGAGTTGCATGAGCTGATCTTTTGGCAAATCTCTTTAATGTCTGACTTAGTAGAGGATAGTCAGATTCTCATGTGTGTTTCTGACTTCCGTCTGTTGCTCTCTGCTGTACTGGTTGAAGTATGAAGAACATCTGGCTTTACACAGATGGGAGGAATACTTGATTAAGCTTTTCAGGCAACTGTAGATTCAGCTAAAGTTCCTTCAGTGTAGATATGTGACACTAAAACAAACTATAGTTTCCTGAAGGACAGCTGCAATCTGAAACCATTTCAATGACCTTTTTCATATTCTGTTATATTTAAATTAATTGTCTCTCTTACATTTTGAATGTATCTTTTCTCCATGAAATTTTTTTTTTTTAAAGATGGGATCTTGCTACATTGCCCAGGCTGGCCCTGAACTCCTAGGGTCAAGCAATCCCCCTGCTTCAGCCTCCCAAGTAGCTGGGACTATAGGCACTTGCCACCATACTCAACTTTCATGCATAATTTTTGTTTGGTTGGTTTTTGTTTTTCTTTTTTGCTTTTCGGGACAAGGTCTTGCTATATAGCTCAGGCTGGACTCAAATTTGCAATCCTGCTGGGATTACAGCACCAACACATCCACCTTCCCATATTCATTTACATTACACATTACATTACACATTACATCCATAATGTGTAAATGAAAGGGATATTATACATCCAAACCACAATGCATGGTTTTTTGGCATGCAGGGTCATTTTGAAAATATTATTCCATTGAATTGTGCAAATCTCCCCAATATTGACATATATTATTATATAATATCAAAAATTAAAATTTTAATATCACCACCTATTTGAGCTGAGAAGTTTTTAAATATTGGAAAGTGTCAAGCCCATGGTGATGGATGCAAGTTTTTCAAAATTCAAATATTTGCACAAAAGCTCAAACTTTTTCATTGACAAGTTGACAGCAATACTGTAAATTGCACACCTCCAAGGGTGCAATTACTCCATCCATTTTCTAGAAAATAACTAATAAGTACACAAGTCTGACTTGCCATAGTTTGTCACGCAGTTATTCGTTCAGGTAAAAGTAGTTTCATGAGAAAGGTCACCAGTTCCTGGGGACCACCGTCCTATGCAATATATAGCACGACTGCCTTACACTTCATCTGCATTTCATTATTGCATGAATCTAGCACAAAACATGTATTCCAAGACCAAGATTTAATAAAACTAGTCATTTTTATGCTTCGTCGACGATGCTGTAAGTCAAAACTATCCCTTTTGTTCTAATTGTGACTGCATGATGATGAGGAAGACAGGGATGGCTAGTGACACTGACTTGAACCATGCTAAGGCACCAACAGGTTTATTCACCTTCACTTTTACGCCATCAGTGTAGATGTGAAAAACATTGAAAAGGGCAGAACGTGCTCACATTGTTATGCAAATGAACCTCACCTTGCAGAACCATTTGGGCCAGGTTGGGGGCAAGACTGGGTTTTGCTTGCATTGTGCATTGACACTGCCTTCCTCTCCAATGTGATAGACAGCCCCATTAAAGTTGGCTCATACAACCTGATCAGGTTAATTAACTGGTCCTCAGAGTACCAAATTATAAACGCAAAGATGACCGCCCACATTGCCTGAAAAGAGCTATTTTGTTAATTTCTAACATTCTTGAAGCATTACTAAAATATCAAAGGAGTAGCAACAAAATAAATTTTGAGAAAGGAGTTTAAAAAAATAAAGGCAAATGCCAGGCCCCAGTGGCTCATGTCTGTAATCCTAGCTACTTGGGAGGCTGGCATTGGGAGGATCAAGGTTTGAGCCCAGCCTGGAGTTCTTGAGATTCCATCTCCAAAATAAGAGCCAAATGGCCTGGATGCATTGCTCAAGTGGCAGAGCACCTGCCTTGCAAACACGAAGCCCGGAGTTCACACTACAATCCCAACAACAGGAAAAAAAAAAAAGCCAAAGGCAAACCACAGAGAGGGGAGACTAAATTTGAAGTCCTTGACACCTACCTATGATTTCCTTCACAAGAATGGGCTGAGAATAGTACTTGGGCTCACTAGCTCCGGCCGCATTAATAGCCTTCACACGCACGAAGATCTTTGCGTCTGTAGGCAGACCATTGATGGTGAACTTGGTCTTGTCAATCAGATCTGTGTTTGCAACTATCCAGTCCTCAGCTAAAACCCGTAAAAGAAAAAGCAAAGAAAGACAAAACGGTATTAGTGAAAGAAACCATCCTATCCATTACAGTCAACTCCAACTTAGTTAGCATTTTACTCATAATTAAGTCATTTGGAAAGAGGATTTCTGGTCACATGGATGGTCATTTTTCATGCATTTAAATGAAAAATGGACCAAAATGGCTAACATAGACAACAGGAAGAATTAACTGCTTCTGGAAAACCTTTTACTCAGGATTAATGTATTCTGAATAATAGTGACCAGTCTCAAGAGTTTTGCAACACTCTTATTTCAATTTCATTTTATTGATGTAATCGTGATATTTAGGTATCTGTATACATTAAAGTTCAGAAAGATGGGAAACTGCTATTTTTCTTTTTTGTGCTGGTACTGGGGTTTTGAACTAGGGCCTCGCATACCCCCAATCTTTTTTATGTTATTTTTCAGATAAGTCCTTGAGCTTTTGCCTGATCTTCCTAATCAGCCTGATCTTCCTACCTACCCCTCCCAAGTAGCTAGGAGTACAGGCACGCCCCAGAATACTTTTTGAGATAAGGTCTCACCAACTTTTTGCCCTGGCTGGTCTCAAACTTAATCTTCCTCTCTCTGCTTTCCAAGTATCTGGGATTACAGGTGTGAGCTACCCCACCCCCTCTCCAGGAAATTGCTACTGGTATGAACGAGAGCCATCCACCTGTATAGTCACATAATCTCTCGGTTTTATCTTGGCAGGATTCTTATTAGGAAGCACTACTGTGTGTATGAAGAATCCAGTTGCACTCCTTCGCATGCATGAAGAAAAGAAACTATGTTTACTTATTTTCTTAACAAAAAATCAACTTAAAAAAATGTTGGTAGCTTTTTCTACAACAGCAAAAGAATTTAAACCCAGCACCCAGGGCTTACAAGTAGTCTAGCTGCTACTGGGTAGTTTGCATCATGCTTGCCTACAGGAGAAGAGAAGGCTTGAAACCCAATGATGAAGTACCTTCCCTCCCCCGCCCCAACTCTAGGGGTTTTGTCGGATGGGGGTGAGAGGTGTACTTCATGCGTGGTCATGGACCATTTCCCTAACTGTTATCATAGAGTAGAAAGTCAGAGCTTCACAGAAAACTTTACCTGGTAGATCAATCGCAGCCTCCCCATTTTCACCAGACTGTTTTGCTGATGTACCTTTGAGAATCCGTCATTAAAATTAATTAAAGACACCCACTTTCACACCAGAAGAATATCATATCAGTAGTCAGCATTCTCTGTTAGTAAAGTATGCAAAGAGGTTTGTCTTCAGAGCAGTGATGGAAGAGATCAAACAGGTTAAGTGGGAGTTTCTCAGGAGAGGCACAGCCTGCTCTGTGCAGCCTGTAGCTTTTATCCTGAGATACCTGCCCCAGAAAAGAAGAAGAAGAAGAAAAGAGAAAAGGAGGAGAAAGGAGGCTGGGGTGCCTCAGCTGTGGGAAAAAGAGACAGTGAAGAACAAAGCAAGACCCTGAAGGAAAAGGAGGAGCCAGTCTTGGAATCCACAGGTGGGCAGTGCACAGAGAACAGTCAATCCTAGTTCCTGTCCCTGCCACTTCAGCCTGGGAGGGTCTTCTCCAGTCCCCAGGGAACACAATGCTCCCATGGTAGGGCTCCTTCATCAGAGTCTGGGTATACAAGACTTGTCATGAGGCCAGAGCTGTCTACCCAAGGCTCAGCCATGTCTTTCTTTGCAAGTTATGAACAGACATAGAATTTGCCCCAGTAGCTCAGCAGGTAGCTTGGGTTGCCACGACAAGAACTCTGGGTCAAGAAAACAAACTGAGCCTGCCAGGGTCCTTCCATTCCATGTGGGAGGCTCACAGGGTGGTCTTAGGCATGCCCCTCTGGTCTTGGATGGTACCAGGAAAGGAGCTGGAGTGTAGGAACCAGGCAAACTGTGCCTGGATCCTTTGCCTCTCTCTTCTTCCAGCCCTATCAGGGGTATCAAGAAAGGGCTGGAAGTCAGATAGCCTGGCAGCTGAGAGGGCAAATGAATGATAAAAGTTACTCACAACTTTGAAAAGAGAAAAAGATACATTTTTAAACAAAGCCACTGTGTTGGCATTTTCATAGTCAAAAGACAAAGAATGGGAAAGTAAAAATAGGAAATGTGTCCAAAAGAATGAAGAACTGGTAAAGAAGAAAATTTCAAGAGAAAATAGGATGTAAAAGATGGGGGGAGAGGGGACAAAAAAATAGCCCATTTCCTTACATTTGAACCACTTCAGTGGAGGGAAACAGAGAAAGAAAATGATGTCCAAGAGGATTGGGAAAGAATATGTAAGTTGTTTAATATGGTTTAAGAAAGAAAGAAAATGAACTAGAAAGAAGGAAGAAAGCAAGAGTAAAATGCTGCAGGCATTAAAAAAAGAAAGCAAAAACAAGAGAAAGGCAGAATCAAAAACAACACACCATCTTCCACAAGAAAGAATTGTCTTACAGAAGAAACCTGACATATTGAAAAGCATTAAACACTACAAAGAATTAGTCTGAAGGACAACAGCCATTAAAAGAGAATGAAGAATGAAGCAGCCAAAGAAGAAGAAACTGTGAGAAGAAAGATTTACAAGTTATGCAAGAACTTCAGGAGAAAGCTAACTCCAAAACGTTATGTGGCAAAATATATACATAATCATGACTGTGTACATATATATATATGTATAACTGAATATACATATATATCTACACAGATCACACACGAAATTATGTAAAATACATTTCGTTGTATTTTATCTAAGGTGGGTAACATCAAAATGACAGCCATCTATCATTTTGCTGTATCTTCTTACTTTTTAAACCTATCAGAAAGAAAAGAGTAAAGAATTTGCTCTGTTTCATACATACACAAAAAGTTGGTGTTCAGCAGTCACACCACATACAAGATTAAGAAATTTTGCTGGCCGGGCTATATAAAAAAACAGAGAGGAACGTTGATGACTTTTTTTTTTTTAAATAACGGGACAAATGAAATAGGGACAAACCATAATCTGAAATGCTCAAGAATTCTTTTGTTGGAATAGTTACAATACCCACATCCTTTGCTGCAGTAGCCCTGGAACTTTGCTTTTAACATATCCATTGGTTTGGATCAGAGGCTTCCAAAGCCCTGAAAAAGTCCAGTATACAACTCTTGAGTGAGGTAAGTGTGAAAGGAATTGAGGGTGCCAGGATTTTTTATCCCTGCTCCCCTTCTTCCCTCCTGACCAGCAATGATCATTTTTGCCAATGGTCTTCCAATCCAGGGGTCTGGGACTTCTTTTTCAGCAGGTTTCTCTTCCATAAGAAGTTTTTTTTTTTTTTTTGCGACAGTGGCTTCCTCCAGGGAAGGGGCATTTGTGTTCACATTGCTGACTCCCCGAATGTGCTCAGCTGCCTTTTTCCTTCACTTACAGCACTCAAGTTCAAGTTTGGGCTCCAAAGAGTTATTTTAGAGGTTAAGTCTTGAAGTTCCTTTTTGTGGATATGAACAAGGTTCTCTGGGGAATTGCTTACTTATCATCAGAGTGGAGCCTAAGTTCAAAACTGGGGCAGTTTGATTCATCTCTCCCTCCCTCCTTCCCTTCCTTCCTTCCTTCCTTCCATCGCTGCTGGGGATAGAACCCAGGGCTTTGCGAATGCTAGGCAGTGCTCTACTGCTGGACTTAGTTCCCAGCCCATAATTCACCCATTTTCAAATGTCATCGCCTTCTAGTTATGGCAAGTCGGAAACAGGCTTTTGGTGCATGTCACATCATTTTGGTTTTCAGGTACTCTGCCCCACATTTTCTCTTTTTCCATATATATATATATTTATATATCCGTGATTTTTTGGGTTTTTTTGGTCTTGTTGCTTTTACCCTCCTAAATTTAAGTGATTAAATTTTCATATGCCCAAGCCCTAAAGTAACTTACTGCTTCATTGAGTTTCTTAGACTCTCTGGGATTTGATGCCAGTTCCTTCAAGAGATGCTTGTAATTCTTCCTTTTTTTTTTCCTCCCTTAAGAAGGCGGGAAATGATAACCAGATAACCAAATATGGAGTTTTTCCTTATTACCCCAAATGGATGGCTCTTCTCATGGTATGCTTCTGCTCCATACAGGTGTTAAAATCTCCAATGTGCTTCATCCTAACTAGATTTTCAGTGTGCCATGGTACAATGCAGTTGGACCAGCTACAGAAATGGAAGTCCCTAAAGCTTTGTCAGAAGCTCCTCCTCCTACATCATAGTCCAATTGTGTTGCCCAATCTTATGTCCCAGCTAGGATATCTTTGAGATCTCAATCTCTTAGCATCAAGTACTAAAGAAAGGCTACATTTTTATGCATGACAGAAGGATGACATGGGCTTGATCTCATTTTCGGTAGAAAAGAAATGCGTTCCTAAGAGAGACACAAGAAAGTGGGGTATATCTCACCTAGGGATGGCGGTATTCATTGTAAGTTCTAGTTGTACTTACTTCCTTCAAAGCAATATTCTAGCACATAGCCGTCTAAACCTGCTGCACCAATCTGGTCTGGGGGCCTCCACCTCATTGTCACAGATGTGTCAGTAACTGAGTCAACAGCCAGGAGAGTGGGAGGGCTGGTTACAGCTTAAGAGATAAGAGAGACAGCAAAAGAAGAAACTTAATTACAGACTTATGGCATGGGACCTGTGATAAAATGATCTGGGACATAAGTAAAAATAGACAAAGAAGCCCCATATCGTAATAAAATTTAAAAATCTTTGAGCATGGCTGCTCGACAGGAGAATTTGAAAACACTGCCACACTTTTTCTCCAATTTGGGAGGCTGGTGTGAGAGAGTTGGAGAAGTCCAAGTCTGGGATCTAATGATCTAGAGTAAATTTCCCATAATCCTCTAATTTTAAAGTATAGACTCTTATATTAAATTTCTTTTCTATTGAAAAAGTACTTCAATACCATTAACTAGAGGAGGCATCTTGTTTCTTTGCTTTCACTGATCTGATTTTTTTTTTTTGGCTTAGTGAATATTTAAGGTGCAATGGTAAAGCAAAGAGACTAGTTTCCAGGTGTAGTTTGTTGAACTCATCAAACTTGGTTTTAGTTACTCTGTCGTGTTTATGCCTGGGTCTATTATACCTTGGGAAAGGCAAATGGACCATGGTCAAGTTTGCAGTGGGCACTGGCGCTACCCACAGCCGTCATTGGAATTCTGGAATTGAATTCCAGGGCCAGCATTATGACCATATTCAATTCTACCACAGTTGTTTTTAATTTCTTAGACAGAAAGTTGTCCCTAACCACGTCCAACCTCCTGCCCACATGCCACACTAGGAGGCCTCCAGGACTGCTCTGGCTACAAGTCAGAAGGAAAGCAGTAGTAATCTAGAACAACAAGCCCATGACAAAGTCATATCTCTTTAGACTTACCCAAAGGGACGAAGGGCTTGGAGGGCATACTGGGCTTGGAGATGCCGATGGCATTAACCGCAAAGATGCGGACCTCGTAGGCCACGCCTTCAATCATCTTCTTGGGCTCAAAGGTTGTTTCTTTGCACAGATCAAAATTCAGCCTCATCCACCTAGAGCTCTGTTTCTTTTTCCTCTCAATAAAGTATCCTGCAGGTTCACAAAATGGAAACTGAGGTTTTCTTCCTTTATCTCCAAAATTAAACTTTGTCAGATATTAGAAGTTCTTCAGATTTTGCATATTCCCTACACACTAAGTGAGATAGTCTTAAAATAGTTCATGTGTTTATATTCTAACCTGCCTAATCCAGCAATTATTATAAGGAGACTGTAGAGAATGCAAATATTAACATCATAAGATAGAGGTAAAAATAAAATAAGAGGACTAGAGAAAAATTAAAATCGCTCTAGAAAAAAGAAGAAAAATCCATCACAGACACATAGGTCATAAGAAGCCAGCCACTATGGTTGAGCTATATAGTCAGAGCCTATATACTTTGACTCTGAGGCCAGTAATGAAAACAAGAAGAGAAAATGATCTATCTTGTGAGTCTAATTACCAGCGAGGAGAAAAAAAAATTCTTACACCAGAGGGGAAGTGACTTCCTCTAAGCATTTAATGCTAAAGGAAATTTCTTTGTTATATCATCCTATGGTACTTGATACTTACTGACTAGATAGTTGTTTCAATATTAGCTAACTGGTAAATACCAAACAAAAAAAGAGAATAGGCAATCAGATAATATTCATCAGACTTAATTATCAAGTAATTGTAAAGCATCCTAAAGTATATACGAATGGATATTTAAAGTCACAGTTAAATAGGTTTTCTTCTAAATGTAGTTTTTAAAATGCATGAATGAAAGTGACCTAGCAACATGGATTGATTAATATGCAATTACCTAAGATCGGAGACCCTCCATCGTAGACCGGAGGCTCCCAGTTCATAACGCACCAGTCATCTCCCACCTCTGTCACACTGGGTGCTACTGGAGGGTCAGGGATGTCTGTAGCACAAAAAGTACAGGGAAAAGTACAATAAAGAAGAGGATGCAAACAAAGATGTCAACAGGAAAAAGTGGGTTTTGGTGATAATCACAGAAACTGTCATTTCTGAGTACTTTCCCAGATTTCCTGAAATGCACCTAGTAATTAGTTTGCACAAAAAAGTCACACTCAATATACAGGATAAGGGAATAAAAGTAAAAACAGATAAAATAACCATGCATCAGTGGCTCATGCCTGTAATCCTGGTTTCTTGGGAGGCTGAGATGGGGAGGATCCTGACTCAAGGTTAGCCCAGGAAAATAAAGTACGAGACACCATCTCAACAGAAAAAAACCCAAAAAAACAAAAAACTGAGTATGGTGGCATGCACCTGCCATCCCAAGGTATATTCAAGGCAAAAAAGTTTGCAAGACTCAGTGGAAAGCAGCTGGGTGTGGTGGTGTACTCCTGTCATTCCAGTGATGTCAGGAAGTATGAAGAGGAGGCTCTGCAGTCCAGGACAGCCAGGCAAAAAAGCAAGACCTTATATTCAAAATAACCAGAGTAAATGTGTGGCTCAAGTTGGAAGAGAAGTGGAAAGCCCAGTACCAAAACAAAACAAAACAAAACAAAATCCTCAAATCCCTTAAAATCATGTCCCAACATTACAGAATAAGCTCCACTTAAACTCAAGACTCTTGTTCTTTACTTTGAAAATGGAAACTAAGAAATTATTGCCTAACTGTTGGACATGGTTTCTTTAGCAACAAAATGAACTTCTGGCAAACTAAATCAAGGACTAATCATCGTAATCAGGTGGAAGATTCGTGATGCTGACCGGTAGAAATTCAAGCCAGAAACGGCAACTCACTATGTCTTGCGAGTGCCTGGAAGAGTAACTAATTTTTGGTCATTTTGATATATATATACATTTCTCAATTATTAGCATATATTATACAAAGGGGTTTCATTGTGATATTTCCATACTTGCATATAATGTACTTTAATCAAATTCACCATTCTATTCTTTCTTTTCCCCTTCCCTCTTTTAAACAATTAACAGGCTTCATTATTCTGTTTTCATACGTGTGTGAAGTACTTAGATCATATTCACCTCCCCTTCACCCTCTCCTTATACCTTTCCCCCCTCCCACTGGTTCCTGCTAAAATCTCTCTCTCTCTCTCTCTGCTAGTACTGGGATTTGAACTCAGAGCCTCATGCTTGCTAGGCAGGTGTTCTGTCACTTGAGCCGTGCCTCCAGCCCCTGAAATATGTCTCTTAGAGGAGAACTAAAGCAAGAAGGAGATCATAAGACCTTAGTTACTCATTCCTTCAATGAGAAGTCTTCCAAGCAAGAAAACTGAAGAAAGGCCAAGCATGGTGGCTTCCAACTGTAATTCTAGCTATTCGGGAAGCAGAGATTGGGAAGATCATGGTTCAAGGCCAGCCTAGGCGAGAAGTTAACAAAACCTAATCTCAACAAATAAACAAAGTGTGGTGGAACACATCTATAATCCGAGCTATGCGGAAAGCGCAGGTCCATGACTGGCCCGGGCGGAGGTGTAGGCAGTAAGATGCTATCTGAAAAACAGTCTCAAGTGGTAGTGTGCCAAACTCTGAGTTCAAACTCAGCACAATGAGAAACAAAGAAAAGGAAAGGGAAAGAAAAGAAAGGAAAAGGAAGAAAAGTGGCAGGCAGAGAAATGGTGGTTTACAGACTACAGTTATATTGTGTTTCTGTGACACCAACAGCTGGCGGCGTCCTCTGGATGGAGACACATCGACGAGCAGTGCTCTAGAAGCCCGTTCACCCTGAGGACTCACCCACGACTTTAATCTTGATGCTGGCATGCGCCTCTCCAGCCTCATTTTTCAGGTTGATGTGGTAAACACCAGAGTCGTCTCGTTCAGCCACATCGATGACCAGAGTGCTGCTGTCGGGGTAAGATTCTGTCCTTATCCTGCCACTGCCTTCCATAATAGCCTGACAGGGAAGATACAAGATGTGACAGATTGTCCACCAGGGCCACCTTGCAGTGTCGTGGGACCTGTGCTGGACACAGCACCAAGGCCTAAAATATGTTCTGTCACTTAAATTTCATCCAACTCCAATGACAGAGACCTTGCTGTCCCATCTCCATATAAGAAAACCGAGGCTCAACAAGCTCAGCTCACCCAGCCAAGAAGCAGTGGAGCTGGGACTGAATTCCAATGCCCGGTGATCACCGACTGTCCCAAGGGAAAGATGGATGACAAAAATACTAGAGTGGAGGTGTCCTTTTAGGACAGGAGTCGCTATGAAATTAGAAATTCTCACTCATATTGAAAATGAAATAGTGATTTGTCCATTTCTATAGATGTCTTGAAAAAGGCTAAAGAAGATCGCGAGGTCATCTCCCACTCGGGTTGCTGAATACTGACTTTCCATTTCCAGTTAGGACACGGAAGAACAAGGGTCTGATTACAACATACAGAGAGAAACTGAGCCACCTACTATGGTTTCTGGTACTTTTTTCTTTTTCTTAAGTATTTTTCTTCTTTCTTAAACCTGGAATTTAAAGTGGCATTATACTTTTTCTGATTCTCAGGAAAAACTGGATGTCCAGGTAGTTTAGAAACTGGGTAATCTGCCAGTAACTATTAAGTTAGCTCTGTACTGTTTTGTACGTGGATTAGGACTCCTAAGTCTTCAATAAAACAGATTGTGACAACAGTAAAAACTCCTGAGATAATTTTTATATTTCTCCTATTTTATCATAGAACAGATTTCACTCATACTAGCCAAATTTTAACTTAAAATTATAAAAGTATGTTCTGTTTTTTTCATGTGAAAAGAAAAATATCTATCTAGGGTGGTGTTACATTTTCCTCTTCAGTTTTCTATACTGTTTTGTTCGTTGTGCTATAGAGTAAAATCCATACTTTATAGGAAAGAATTTGAACAAATTGATACAATTATTTTGATGAATTGATGACACCTCCCAATGGAGTCTCCATACTCCAAGGAATCAACCCACTTCTCACACCCTGGCTCCTGGCAACCACTGCTGTAATATCTGGCCTAGAGCTTCCCCGCTTAAGTATCATTTAAGTGGAAACAAATAGAATGCAGCATCTCAAATCTGGCACCACGTTGTAGGATGTTTTTAAGATTCACCCATAATGCTGCATCTATTCCTAGCACATTCTTTTTATTGCTGAGAAGTACTCCACTGTAATTCTCTGTGAAGTTGGCTTATACCATTAGAACTGTGTTTGTACATTTAGACTTTTGGGATCTTTCCAGGTTTTAACAATTATGAACCAATCTTCTGTAAATATGGGTATATAGGTTTTTGCCTAGAGGTATGCCTTCTCTTTTCTTGAGTAAGTAACTAAGAATAGCATCATAGAGTTGTGTAATAGGTTCATGTTCAACTGTATTTAAAAAATTACCAAACTGCTTTAGTGCAAATGACACAAAGTAGATGTATGATTTTGCATTCTCACAAATGGTGAGAGATACCTTGTCAGTATTTAGTACTATCAATTTTTAATGTGTTTTTAAAAAATGACTTCTTAAAAATATTTTTTGTCTGTCTTCTTTCACTCAGTGTAATTATTTTGAGATACATTCATGTTCTTGCAAGGTGGGTACCCCATTCCTTTCTATTGCAGAATATACTCCAATTTGTTAGACGTTCACTTGTCAATAGGCATTTGAGTTGTTTTCAGCTTCTGGCTATCATAAGCAATTACCATGACCATTTGTTCTAGTAGATTTTTTTTTTTTTGTCAATTGAACTGGAGTTTCTACATTAAGAATTACGCAATGTGCAAAAAAGGCAGTTTTACTTCTACCTTTTCAACACGGATGTATTTCATTTATTTTTCTTGTCTGATTGCCCTGGCAAGAAGCTCGAGTACAATGTTGATGAGAGGTAGTTGAGAGTGGCCAGCTCTCTCCTGCTCCTGATCTCAGGGGAAAAGCGGTCAGTCTTCCTTTCTTAAGTGGGATTTTCATGGATATCTCTTATCATGTTGAGGAAGTTCCTTTTATTTCCTAGTTTGTTGAGAGATTTTTAATTAGCATGCATATGGATTTTGTTAAATGTTTTTGCTGTGTTTATTAAGATGATTGTATATTTTTCCTACTTTGTTAATATCATGCCTTTATGGGATAAACACATTATTCTTTTTACATTTTGCAGGGCTTGATTTGCTAAATTTTGTTTAGAACTTTTTCATTTATGTTCATGAATGATACTGGTGTGTCCTTTTTTTCTTCTTGTAATGTCTTTCCCTAGCTTTATGATAAGGTTAATACTGGCTTTAAAAATGAGTTAGATAACATTCCTATTCCCTCCACTCCACTTCTCTGCAAGAGCTGTGTACATTGGTATGATTTTTGTGCTTTAATGTTTGCTAGATTCTCCAGTAAGGCCATTCAAAGCTGGAGTTTTCTTTGGCAATGTTTTTTAACGACAAATTCCATGCTTTTCTTGATAAAGCAATTCAGTACTAATTTAGTGACATTCCAAAAATCTGATATGTGATGTATTCAGACATTTTATACTTTACCTTTGATATCTCTTTTGACCCATGAGTTACTTAGAAATATACTTTTTAGTTTTCATATAATTGAGAATGTCCCAAATATCTTTCTATTATTGATTTTTAGTTAATTTCATTGTGGTCAGAAGACATGTCTTATATGACTTTAGTCCTTTTACATATATTGAGAGTTATTATGACCCAGAATATGACATAGCTTGGTAAATGTTCCATGTACACTCAAAAACAATGCCCATTCTGACTTGTGTGGTGAAGTGTCCTATAAACGTCAATCAATTCAAGATGGCTGATAGTGTTATTTAAGTCTTCAATACCCTCACCTTCTCTGTCTTCTTGTTCTATCTACTATTGAGAAGAATTTTAAAACTTCTGATTTATCTATTTTGCTTTATGTTCTATCATTTTGCTATCTGTTTTCAAATCATTGCATTGGTTCTTTGTGCCCTTTTTCTGTCTCTTTTGGCTTAATAAATATTTTTATAATTCCATTTTATTTTCTTTGTTGGTTTACTAACTACAAGTGTAATTATAGTGGCTTCTTTAGGGTTGATAGTATACATCTTTAATTTTTCACAATCTACCTTCAAGTGACAGTTCTTAATATTTCTCCATATAACTTCTCGAACATATGGAATTTGGTTACAATAACCATTTTCATGTTCTTGACTACTCAGTCTTATACATGCATATGATCTGTGTTGGTTTTAGTCAACTTTTCCTCTTATTTTACGTTATGTTTCCCTACTGATTTCTCTGCTATAATATTCATTGAATGGTAAATATTGCAAAATTTACCTCATTGAATGCTTCATATTTTTATACTCTAAAAATTAAGCTTTGCTTTGGAATGCAATTACATTACTTGCAAATTGACCTTTTTAGGGCTTGCTTTTATGATTATCAGGTACCCTGAGCAGTGTCCAGCCTAGAGTAATTACCCCCACAACTGAGGCAAGGCCTTCTTGATTACTCTTCTCACTGCACTGTGAATTATAATGTGGTCAGGTCTGGCTGGAGATTGGGGCAAGTAGTATTTCTGACTGTGAATGAGTACCAGTCACCTTCTTTTTAATTCTTTCAGATGGTTCTTTCCCCAGTCTTGGGTAGTTTCCTCATAAATGTGCACTTACCTCTGCTGAACTTTTGGAAGGATTCTCTGCAGAGCCCCAGGCTGTCTTTGTACAGCTTTTTACTTTAGTGTGTGACTGGTAAACTCTACCTGCTTGACCTCCTTGTACAAGGATTCTAAACTTAGAGCTCTGTCTGGATTCTCTTCTTCATCTCTCTCTCTTCTTCCCTTCTTCCACCCTCCCTCCTCCCCTCTCTCTTTGTAGTGCTGGGGATCTGGGATCGAACCTAGGGCCTTCTAGGCAGGAGCTCTACCACTGAGATCCCTCCCCCTCGCCCCGCCCCCAGCCCTCTGGAAACTCTCTTAAGGAAGTAAGCTGGGGCAGTGTAGGACTCACCTCATTTGTTTATCATATTTCAGAGTCATCACCTTTCACTATCTGGTGAAAAAACATTGTCCACATGTTTTGTCAGGTGAGTATATAAATCTTTTTAGGTGTAAAACTCTTTTCTATTCTTTGTTTTGCAAGAAGCCAGAGGACTACACTTGAGCTGGCAATAGTCTACCATTCCAGCCTTATTTACTTTTCTCCTCCTCACTTACTCTGTGCCAGCCACACTGGTTTTCTTTCTCTTTCTCCAACATCTCAAGCTCATTCTCTGTCCTTAGCCTTTGTACTTGCCTGACCTCCACGTGGAAATCTCTTCCCTTTGGTCTTCACAAAAGGGGCTCCTGGTTGTCATTCACAGAGGCCGCCCCTGACTGTGCAACACTCTCTTCTATTATCTTGGTAGCACTTACTGCCATCCAAAGTGACTCTGTTCTTTTATTTACTTATTTAAAAATTTAATAATTAATGAATTATTAAATTCATTGTCTATTTCCCTTCTATCCACTCCTGTGACATCCATAGAGTGAAAGGTAGGATCTTGCTCATTACATACAAAAACATGCTTGACTATGTAGTAGGTAGTTAGAAATATGAAAAGTGAATAAATGATTATCAGATTTGCCTAAAGATCAGCCATTGTTCTTTCTCAAAGGAAGTACATCTGCACTGTACTCTTGTCATTTATTTGCACTGTCCCTTTGACAGTGCAAGGGATGCGATAGGCTGTGTATGTGTGTGTGTATGCAACAAACCTTATCTGCTCGGCTCCAAATGGCTTTGGGAGGTGGCTCCCCAGTGACAGGGATCTCAAGGCGAAGCTTGTTTCCTGCAATCACTGTCACTGTATTGTCAGCATCAAGACCATCCAGGATGATCTTAGGAGGGTCTGGAATATTAAGCATAGCTTTTGTTATCAGATAGACATTTCCATGGGAATATTTCACATAGTGATTGGCTAGTGCTAAACCGTGGTAATAACCAAATTTTTACCTGGTTAAAAAGAATATAAGAGGGAGCAAGGTAATTGGTGCCTGGCAACCTCCAAAAGTATTTCATAAGATTTATGAATCAACTACTTACGATTAGTGATTAATATCAATTGATGTATTTTTCTTTAAATATTGCATAGTTTTGAATTACAATTCCAAGGCAAGCAAAAACAAACAATACAGCTATGCAATAATTTCCTTTCTCTACTCACCAATAACATGAACTTTGGCAGGCAAAGTAACATTGTAGGCATCTGGTGTAAATACATAATCACCTTCATCTTCAATGAGAGCGTTGGCTATGACTAACTTGTGGATTCTAAGAAACCAAGAAAAACATATTTCTAAGACTCCGAGAAGATTTAGACTATATATGACCCAAACCGAAGAGACACCTGTCTTTTATCTGATTAACTTGCTTTGTGCAGGAGAGAAAGAGAGGAGGTGGGGCGGGGGGAAGAGAGAGAGAGAGAGAGAAAGAGATGGAGAGGGACAGAGAAAGAGAGAGAAGGTTTAATTATGCTTTTTATTCATTCAAATTAGATCTCTATTTTGGAGTAGGTGGAAGTACATCTACAAACACAATTAGTTTTTTATGTATGTGAGAATCTATTATTATTTTTCCATCCTATAACTTTAAAAAGACTAAAGCACAGCATCTTAATGCTACACTTGAAGATTTAAGTTGGCTTTACATGCTAAAAGAGTAAACTTTCTTAAGTTTATTGGGTTTATGCAAATTGCATGAGTGAGTATTGGATGGACAGTGAAGATCTCTCTCTGTAGAAAGTATGTATTTTGGGGTTAGGAGACTAGCTCAGTGGTAGAGCATGTATCAGGCCACAGGTTCAATCCACAGCACTATACAAGAAAAGAAATGTTTGAAGGAAATACTATGGATTATGGAAGTATACATTTTTGTATGTGCACAGAATTGTCTCACAGTTTCAGAGGATTTATGGAGTTCCTAGAAGTTCACTCATGATCTCATAAGCATCCTTGGGTTCAAGGTTAAAACCCTTGCCTTGGATCTTTGGGAAGGCCATGACACTTAAGTGTCAAAAGACAAATGATGACAAATTTGGTTTAAAGATCTTGGGGCTAGCAAAGTGGCTCAAGTGGTAGATCGCCAAGCAAGTGTGAGAAACTGAGTTTAATCCCCAGTGCCTCCAAAAAGAAAAAAGAAAAAGAAAAACAGACAAAAAGAAGCTTAATTGGCTGGACACTGGTGGCTCACGCCTGTAATCCTGTCTACTTAGGAGGCAAAGACAATGAGGATCATAGTTCAAAGCCAGCCTCAGACAAATAGTTCATGAGACCTTATCTCAAGAATACCCAACACATAAAAGGGCTGGTGGAGTGGCTCAAGTGGTAAGAGCACCTGCCTAGCAAGTGTGAGGCCCTGAGTTCAAACCCCATGCTGCCAAAAAAAAAAAAAGAACTTAATTGGCTTCAATTCTGGAATTGGGAAACTGCACATTCTATCTATAGATAGGAAAGAACTGAGGAAATGAGGAACACAGAACAAAAAGATTATTTTAAAGTTTCTTTCCTTGTACAGTTTACAGCAGAGGACACTTCTTTATCATGTTAACACTGGCCCCCTGTATGGGGGATTTGGCTATTCTTTCTTTCTTTCTTCTTTCTTTGTTTTGTGGTACTGGGGTTTGAACTCAGGGCCTATACCTTGAGCCACTCCATCAGCCCTTTTTTGTGATGGGTTTTTTCAAGATAGGGTCTCACAAACTATTTGCCTGGGCTGGCTTCAAACTGTGATCCTGATCTCTGCCTCTTGAGTAGCTAGGATTACAGGCATGAACCAGTGGCTCCCAGCCTTTCTCTGACTTCTGTTTAACGTTGTTGTCAGATAAACATCTTAGTTTGGGCATCGTGATGAGGAACTGCAGCCTGAGTGACTCCATGTTGGTTTGGTCTATTGGGCCTACTGCAAAAACTCAGTCAAAATCAATAGTCTTGGGTGACTCTTACTTAACATTGGTTAGGGACAGTTGACACATTTGATCAGGGCTTCAACTACAATTCAATATCATTTCTCTAATCTCGGTTTATATGGAACAAAACCAGATGTCACAGTAGGACATGATATACAACACAGAAATCACGTTTTTACTACTTGGAAGCAAAGAATTACTAATAGTCATCTCCAGTGGCTACTCTCCAAACAAAAGTTGCATGAATATGCAACTTAGGAAGTGGAGAGAATGGACATGGGGACCAACCTTCACTTGACGATCACTTTGCTTACCTTCCTTTGTGGACAACCTTTAGACGGTCACTCTCCTGAACAGGGAGGCCATTTTTAGTCCATTTTCCTGATATGTTTTCAGAGATTTCACACTTCAAGCATATTTCTTTTCCAAGTTTTACAGTCTGGTCAGTCAGAGGTGTCATAATCTTCAGAGGTTTCACTATAGAGATAAAAAGCACCATAAAGGGCAAACCCACACTTTAGGCAGGCCAACATGGTGACATTTCACAATGCATCGTCAGTTCTATTACAATGCTTGTTTTGAAGACGAGAATTTGTTCCAATGCAATTGATATATTACAGGAAATTAGCATGTAACGTGCATTTCACATTTGATTACACATGATTTCATTCCTGAGAAGAGCTGAGTGAATGCAGAAAGCTGTACCCAGACGAACTGAGCCAGACAGGAATGCACAAATTGCACATGTGCACACCTTGAACGTCTACCGGTGACCTCAGCTCACCCATGAGAAATAAGCCACTTGCTCACATCTGAGGTTGCAACTAAATGTCTGCTTTCAAATAATCCTCCTACGACAGGCTAGCTCACAAGCTACAACCCTTCCAGCACCACTTCTACAAGCAAATTTCAGGCCTTTTTCAAGGTAAAATGCCATATTTATTGCCATCTTTGTTAACCATTTACCAGGGGTAATGCCATGGCATTTTTTTTATGAGATTCTTCTCTTCATTTTTAATGTATCACATTAAAAGTTCTTTGAGTGTTATGCCATAATCCCATTTTTCAATAAGCCCTGTGGCTTTGATTGCAGGATTTTGCACAGCATAGTGATTTTTTAGATATGCCTGTATTGAACTGATGTAATTTCTTTTAATGAATACAAACATCAGGTAAGAATATGTGTATGTTTGAGAAATTTTTTGATAGTAAACTAAAATGGCCAAATTCCATGAAGCACCTGGAGTCTAGTGAGATGACTTCAAACTCCATGATGAGTGGTCTTATGAGCTGTAACTGAACTGGCAAAGAAGTAGGAAACAAGATGTCTGCTGTGCATGTACTCCAACCCTCTCAATATTTTTCTATTTTAATTCTCACAGCAAACTTGAACAGATTCTGTCATTGAGAAATGAATGCTATTGGAGAACACTGAGCAAGCTCATCCATTGTCTTTGCCTCTGAAGCCTATTAGCAAATACATTTTTACTCATTAGTGGAGCGTCCTCAATTGCACCGCTTCAGTCTGAGTAACTCTTCTCATGTTAAATGCAATGGCATGTTTCATGATGAGTGTTGAATGTTTATTTAATGAATAAATTGCAAACACTGTCAGGATTTAATACCACATCTAAGTATTTACCACCTATTTTTATGGTCTTGGATAACTCTTCTGGTGGTGATTCTTTATTCCCTCTCTACTATTAATTGAGTAAGTAGTAGATTCCTTTCTCAGAGACCTTGAGTGATCAGACACTCAGCTAGAATGGCATATGTAATTTAATATGTAACCTTACATATTAAAAATGCTACAAGTAGAAGTCAAAGAGAGTGAAACCTTCGTAAATCTGGATTAACAAACGCATTTGTAAGCTGATTTAGAAGACGTCTATAGAAACCTTACTTACGGTCAACGCTAAGTTTAGCAGACGATTGTCCTCCAGTGGTCATCACTGAATATTCTGCGCTGTCGGCCTTCGTTGCTCCTTCTATGATCAAAATATGTTTTTTGCCATCAACTTTAATTCTGTATCTTGATTTTGGACCAGGGACGATCTCTTCACCATTCTTAAACCTGAGTTGATACAGATTATAAAAGTTTGATAAAAGAACCTTCAGGAACTAAACATTGCTGGTCCTATTTAATGCTTTATCCTAGTACCTTGCAGAGTTTCTGGAATGATCCCAGACACACAAGAACAATTTGTTGAATTAAAGAATGTGTGAGTCAGGGGCTGGCAGAGTGGCTCCAGCAGTAGTGCACCTGCCTAGCCCCTGAGTTCTGCCAAAAAAAAAAAAAAATATATATATATATATATATATATGAATCAATGCATCTATCAATGGATTCATATTGTAACAAGTATTGTCTATAATATTATGGTGAAAGAATGTGAATCATCGCTTCTCATTCAAAGCCACTGAGATGAAGATGTTAAGAGTGGATGTTACCCTTTCTGAGTTCTTGACACATTTTAAAGTTAGTTGTGATTCTAGATTAGTATGAACAATCTATTCTGTACATATTACTACAGATTCTCAGTGTGTATTTTACTATACTTCTTGACATAACATTTCATTTTAAGATTTTGAATCTTCAGTTTTTAATTTTGAGGTTACTCACAGGGAACATATAAGAAAATGCTCCCCACTGCCCTCCCCCGCCCAAAAAAAACTTTTATTTTTTAAATGTTTTGGTACTGGGGGTTGAAACCAGTACTTCATATGTGCTAAGTGTGTACTCTTCCACTGAACTATACCCCCAGCTCCAGCTCTTTTTAATTTTTAAAAAAACAATTAGTGATTCTCAGTCTAAAATATTTTTATGAGGTGTTTATAACAATAAAGTAATAAGGATTTAAATGAGAAAGATATAAATATGCTTTCCATTTAAATTACATAGTGAAGAGAAGCCATAGAGGACATAGTGAAAAGAAGCCTAGTAGACAGACAGATGAAGGGGATCCACAGTCTTTGGATTTAAATAGACTTGGTAACTTGAGTGATCCACTTATTAGTAAGTGCCTACCTCTCTATGGGTAAGCGCGCTTACCCATATAGATTTCTGGATTTATTTTTTCAGTCTCGAGGAAAAGAACTCCAAGATCTTAGTATAGCTTTAGTTATCATCTCTATTAACATGAGTAATGCTGAGATTATTTTTATGTTTAAAAGCCATTTGTATTTCTTGTTCTATCAACTATGAAGGCACATTTTTTTGTCTATTAAAAATGGATGGACATCAGGAAAGCTACTTACCATTTTACATTGGCATCATCTTCAGACACTTCACATTCCAGTTCCACTCTCTCCCCACAGTAAGCATTCAGATCTTCCAGCTGTTTGGTCACCATAACTGGAGGTTCTAGTATGAGAAAAGAGGAAATCAAGATCGTGAAATAGCCAAAGCCTGTTTCCTGAGCCCTGATTGGTTCGCAGATGAAAATCCAACAGTGGGAAAATACCCTTCATGAGTCACAGGGTGGTAAATAGGTATGTTTTTCTGTCTGATCTTAGCAAAGTAAAGCAAACCTGGGTAAGTTCTCCCAATCTTCTCAGAACTCTCCAAATCAAATAAATAATTCTTCTGGAGAGTAGATAAAATGTGCATCAAATATTCATCCTTCAGCAAAGAAAATGGTAGACGTTTCTGATAAGGAGACTATGTAACACTAAAGGTTTATGACTTGGGTTGTAGAGGGAGGATTGAGATTAGAGTTGTCTGAGTGACACATGGCTTCATTTGACCCCTTAGCTCTTACACTGTCTTAGTAAATGTCAACCATTGTTGCTGTCTTCTTAATGAAGCTGGTTTCAAGAGCATCCTACTTGTGATCTGCTAAGTATGTGAAATAAGGATTATCCAGGAAAGTTAGCTTGACCAATTTAAAGTCAGCTATCTAGTTACAGCTTCAGAAACCATAACCAGAATAATTATTTTACAGAATAGTGCTTGGCTTGAGTCAAAACCACAGGTAGCTTCACTCAGTAGATTTTGTCTCCCCTCAGCTTTTCCATCCTCAACAAGCCTGAGGCCTAATTAGGATGCAGTAGAGAGAAGCGCACCCCACTAGTGCCAGGCCTATCCAGTGGTCAAGCCATAACATTGTCAGAGGTGCTACCATGTCTACTCTGGCTCTGAAGAGGTCACCTTGCCTTTCATTTTGATCACTGCTCTGGGAAGAGTCGTTGGTTCTCGATGGTTGTAAGGAGAGATTTCATTTTACCTCTTACAAAAAGCTCAGTAGAACACTTCTCATCACCAGCTGTCACATAGTACTCTGAGTCATCTGTCAGTGAACAGTTATTGATAAACATGATTCTTTCGCATCCTTTGTGTTCAAAGATGTATCTGTTTTAAACAGGAGAAAGATATACAGAGTCTGAGAACTTGATTTTATTCTTTTCTTTACTGCTAGCAAATTTGACTTATACTCTGATAATACTTGAGAGTAAGGGATATAATTTTGATCTTACATTCATGTAACATGTTTTATCTAGTTTAATTAACATCAAACAAAAAAACAGTTTTCATATTTATGACACATGTGTATTTACTTATGCTATTTAAATGCTATTCTTATTTTTTTATATGAAATTTTTATTGCAAATACAAAACAATTTTTACATATTTGCTATTTAGTTATTTTAACCCACTATCGGAGAATAGGGTTGGTTGAGTGTGTCAGAGACACTTTTAACTCTGTATGTTCTTTAAATGGCAATTCATGTACTTTATCGGAGGGGCAGAGACTTGATCTTACTCATTGTCATGTATTGCCTTCATTGCCTAGACACAGTAGATTTTATAGGGTGAATAAATGATGGTGCAACTGAAGCAATCATATGGCCTTCATTACTAATATAAGCAGTAATTTGTGTAGAATGTAATGGTCTCTTAGATAGGTGTAAGACCTGGCATGGTCACATCACAGTTATCTATTACAGAGGGTGAATATGATGGATGTTTTTGTATTGATGTATGAAAATAGAACAATGAAACCTGTTAAAATTGTTCTAAGAAGAGGGGCGGGGGTCAGGGACAAAGAGGGTGAATCTATTTAAGATACATTGTAAGCACATATGAAAATGTCACAATGTATCCCCCACATACAACAATTATATGCTAATAAAAAAAGAAAGCTTTTGAGTATTTGAAAACAGAAAAGTAGAAGACAACCAAATTTAATTATCTGTGTTCTGGATTGTAGAGGAACACATTAGAATATTATAATAAACAAGAAAAAACAGGTTTGAGAATTCCTTAAGTTGAAGGCTTCAAGAACAAAGTATTTCAACATTTTCTTGTAAAGCTAACCAATTAAAATTATGTTCTGGTAAATCCAGGGCATCTTCACAGATTTTTACACTAGGTGTAAACATTACATCACAAAGTCACTCTGTTGGCATGATCACATTAAGAAACTGGAAACCACCTAATTGCACTCCAGACGTGACAGCATTCCAGGATTAAGTCTCTTATCAATGTACACGTGGCTCTTGTTAACTTAAAAAAAATATTGTAGTTGAAAATCTCTTGGGCTGAGGAGGATCTCTGTAAAGTAGTTTCATAATAGGCTAGAGATACCATCAGACACCAGGGATTAGTTTGTCTCCTTCCTTTGGGAGAGGGCCAAGAAACAATAAAACACAGGCTTAGATCTGCATTTCGTTAGTTCTCAACATCAAACAGTTCTATTCAGATGCAGTGCTGTGAATAAGTGAATTGAATATAGAAGATATTCAATCATTATCAAATATAGATGCTATTTTGAAAAAAAAGCAAAAGTCATCTAATTATGAGATGTGATTCTCAACTGGCACAACAAATATGTACTTCAAAAAAATTAAGTTTTACATTTTAAAAATGGGAGAAATTTGGCCATGTTCTGGAATAATGGCATGTAACCTGTAGTGACACAGAAGCTTATTTGGGAATCACTTGAACAGTCTGTTTAGAATTAAACATAAAGGAAAGTATTGTTCATATAACACTATGATTTTAAGAGTTCCAAATACAAGAGACTTCAACTTTTACTGTCCCTCATATGATTTTACATCATAAATGTATAACTAACACTTCCTTTAATTTTCAAAAACTAGGTCAAATTTGTCTCTACTTGTCACTGGTCACGTGCAAAGCCCACTTACTTGGTGCTGGGTCGAATTTCTTGACCGTTTTTATACCATTTCACCTCCAGCTTTGGGTCAGCCAGTTCCACAACAAACCTTACTCTGCCTCCTTTATCAACCTGATATGCAGGATCGAGAATTCTTGAAAAAGCTGGTGGACAGAAGAGCAAAAGTGTGTTTATGTGTGCATATGCTCCAAATGTAAACAGTCAATGTAATGTGTACATGAGAATAACTGAGTCTCCGAGAAGAAAAGGTCTTTTATAGTTTAGAATTATGCTGACTTATATACGATAAGATGGTTTAAAATTTTAAAGAGAATTCACGTTTTTCAGGGAACCCTAAGAAAAGAATAGTTGAAGAAGCTTTAAAAATGATCTAACTCTTCTGCGAATGCATTCAAATGAAACTGCACTTTAAGAATTCGCTTTAGTAATATAACAATGAAACCTGTTGACATTGTTCTAAGAAGGGCGAGGGGACTGAAGGAGAATGGTGGGGGGCAGTGAATCTAAGATACATTGTAAGCACATATGTAAATGTCATAATGAACCCCCTCTGTACAACTAATATATACCAATAAAAATTGTAAAAAAAGTATTTGCTTTAGTGTGATTACTATTAGGATCACTGGGATTATTTTCTCCCTGCTCCACTGAAAATTCCTAATGGCGGGGATGGGTGGGGGAGATATTCAGTACCCTATTCAACTTCGGACGAAGTACTGTAAATCTCCAGGTCACCCTAAACCACTGTCTGCTACCCTCATAGCCAGTGATGTAAGGGGCAGTGAAATGCTCCACCTGAAGCAAAAGGTAACCAGAAGGGTGACCCTGCGTACCCCATTTAGCCCCACCCCAAGCAGGGTGAGCGAGGATGAAGCGTGGTGTGAAGGTCAAGGTCACGTCCTTGAGCGCCTTGGGCTGGCCCCCCGGCGCGCTCACCTGCGCTCTTCTTCTCCACCCTGCGCATGCGCTTGAGCCGCCTGAGCATCCCGCGCAGGTCGGTGATCCCGTACTGGAAAGCGATCTTTTCATACTCATTGGGGTTCGCGTTCTTCAGCAGCTCCCACACATCAACCTCGGGTTCCTCCTCCTGCTGCTTCACCTCCCTAACAGGGGAGAACCATTGCTTAGTTTAGTAGCTGCCCTGGCTCTTAAAGGAAAGGAAGGTCGGGTGTGATCCCCACTTTTGGCTTAAAATCTTAGGCGAACTCCTGCTAAGTAGGTCAAATACGTGCGCTTAGATGAACACTTTCGTTTTCCTAGCTGAAAGCACAGTTTTAGGGGGAGCAGGACATAGGATATATCCTGAAAATATTTCACCCTTTTTTCAACTTGTAAAGACTAATTGAAGGTGAAATTTGGGGGAAACAGAAGAGTTTTCACTTAAGGTACAGATTTTGAAAAGTGGATTAAGAACTAAAAGATTTAATATTGGCCTGTGAATGAAAAATAATCTCTTTCTACACTTTTGGCCTGTGCAAAGACTGCACTTCAAATCTTTTTTAATTCTGCCAATTGCATTTTTCCTACCACATAAGTAAATAGTGGGATTTTTAATATTAAAAATATTGAAACTTCCATGAAGACTTTTTTGTTTTCTTTTCATATTTTGTGGATAGTGATGCTTTTAAGAAAGAAAGATTTTGGTGCTGGGGGCGTGGCTCAAGAGGGAGAGCGCCTGCCTAGCAAGTGTGAGGCTCTGGGTTCAAACTCCAGATGTTTTTCTAAACTGGCTGAGGAAAAGAAGAGTGGGGTAAAAAAAATTCTCTCACATTTCAGCTTAACATACTGTCTTGAATTTTTTTTTGGAAGCAGAGTGAAGTTGAAATATAAACGTGTAAATGTTAAACTGTAAAGCAAACGATTTAGGGTTCTATGAACAAGAGCAAAGTAATCTTTTAGGGCAATTATTCAAAATTATAGTGCCAAATTTTGATCACTGGCTGAAGAATGTATAGAACATTTAAAGAGCATATATGACTAAAATCTTGTAAGACTTAAAACACACTTATTTCCCCTTATTTCAAAACTGCACCATGGCACCAAAACTCAACAAACATTTTATGAAAAGTAACTTAGTCTAAATGCAAAATGTAACTTAAATTTATTGTCTTCATTGGCTAAATAGTCCTGCTATTCTTTAAATTTAGTTGACTATTTGTATCAGGTTAATTTGGAAATGTTACAGTGACCACTTACAGTGACTGATGCTGGTTTGGATATGATTTTCTGGACTATATCAGTGTGAAAATGGATTCATGCTATCACATTAAGGACTGATGACTACATCTGTTTGCTTTGTCTCATTAGTTATACCTGTTTCCAAGTGTCTTCTTTATACTCATACAGACTATGAGAGGGAAATATTGGCTTATGATCACAGATAAAGTATTTGGGAGAAGGTAGGAAAATATAATGTTAGCATAGAGTTTAGGCAAGGATAACTTCTAAATATCTAATTTCCATTTTACATCATCATTAAGTCTTTCTGCCCAGTGGGGTGGGGGTTATTGAGGCCAATGTCCTGGGAAAATGGAAGTCAGTGGTCTGTCACTAATCTCGACAGGAAGGGCTAGACAACTCCATTAGGAAAATGTGCCTCTGAAGCCTCAAGACATAAGCATTATTTTCACCTCATTGAAATAAGAATGTACCTGTAATAACATGGGGAAACTGAAAAGCTTAAGGAAATTGCTCTGAAATGGGAATGCTGGCAATAGTTTGCCAGAGCCACTAAATCTACAGACTGAAAGCAACCTGTGCTTCAAGTACATCTTTTAAAATATTGGGAGAATTGCAATTAAAATGTGTGTATGTACACATGCATATATTCTCTGTGAGATATGTCCTCAATCTAGTACTAATGCTTTGGTTTTTGTCACATTCCAGGCTAAATGTAGTCCCCAAACTTAAAAATTATGCCATATCTAGATTGTGTTAAATTTGTGTTCTAATCAAGGAGAATTACATACATACACATTTTAAGTATCCTCCTGACATTGGTGGAAAGATTTAAAGATGTCAAACTAGATATAATTTAAATAGCTAACAAGAGGCACAGGTCAATACTGAGACAGACCTAGAACCATGGAGGGAAAATTTATATGAAAGAACCCAGTAATAAATCAGTTTTGTTGATAGAGTCATAAAACCAATCATCCCCACCATTTTTTCATTTAAATGCCAAGACTCTACTACATTCTTTATCAACTTTCACATCAGAAGGGGAATGACCTCTTGCCTATTTCTTTTTTCTTTCTTTCTTGCCATCACTTAATTGTAGCCTATATTGTAAATGGGAGCATTCATTTATTCATTTTGTACTGAAATGTGAGGTCAAAGCTCTCACCTGCAGCATTTCCTTAACTCATCTAGAATGTATCTTTACTTACCAGATGGCTGTACGTGGCCCTGTCTGCATGGTTAAATTACAGTGAGAAGAAAAAAATGCAGATTTCTGATTCCATCTTTGGGATAGACCTGTATAATATCCACAGTACTTTCATCTACATCAAAATTTCTATAACTTGGTGATCCTAGTGAATGATAAAGCAGTTGTAGAAATTTTATGTAGAATAAGACTTTTAAGTATTTATATAGGTCTAATCCCATAATAAAACAGTGAGCAAAAGATTTGCCCTGATTCATCTAATGTCTATTTGAAATCAGCTGTTAAGCTAGTTTTGATCAGAACAGGAAGATTTTTTTTTTTTAGAACAGAGATACTGCTCATAAAGATATTTCTTCTGATGAAAATTTTGCCACACACTCTTAAAGAAGTAGAAATGGTAACCATGTGTCATTACCACAATGAAAACACATGCAATTCACAAATTAGTAAGAAAACACATGACTTCTGAAGTTGCAATAGTGGATTAGTACAGTACATTGAATAAACAGTGTTAACAATATAATTATGAATCAAAGACTTAATTAGGGGATGTAAAGAAAATGAAAACTGGAGACACATTGGCTGCCTATTTTTTTTCAAATTATTTTCATTTAGTTATTTTGATCATATAATTAGATTTCCTTTATTTTGCAAAATACTGGTAGAACAGGTCTGGGTTTTTTTCTCTCTTTTTCCTTTTCAATCAGAGCATGACAGTTAAAAATCTACTGGCTGTCACATTGTGGTCGATTGATGTGTATGCCTCTTTACGAATATGAGCTCTTTTAAGGAAAACTGAACATTGTCCTAGTGGAAGTACATATTAACTTGTTACATACTATGGACCAGGCCTCTTATACTTAATTTGCCCAATAACTCTATTAAGTTGTTTTTATTCTTCACATTTGTAGATGTGGAAAGGAAGTCTCAGAGAGGACATATATTTTAGCCAAAGTCACATAATTAGTAGAGGGTACAATTAAGATTTAAATCCTTATTTTGGGGGCTGGTGGAGTGGCTCAAGTGGTAGAGCACCTGCCTAGTAAGTGTGAGGCCCTGAGTTCCTGAGTTTGAACCCTAATACTCCAAAAAAAAAGAAAAAAGTAAATAAATAAGTCCATGTTTTTGCCACTCCTTCTTCCCCCAAAATATCTGTTCTTCTATTTCTATGGGCTAGATCCTGGATTGCTTTTCCTCACATCACCTGGCTTTACACTCTACACAGAGAAGGCATTTGGAATTTTCCTGGTTGAGTAATGAAGGCAGGGGAAGGAAAGCCCTGTCTTCCTAACAAGTCAATGCATGTTATAAACAGAAGCACCAGCTTCCAGGGCAGACTCAGGTAGGATTTCTTATTTGGAGTCACAAGAAATGAGTGACTCAGAAAAGAGAAACTTGGATTTGGGCCCCTTCCTGCTCTAATTCTTGTGGGATGTAGGGTAAGTCACTCAGCACCTGCTGGTCTTGGTTTCTCACATGTAGAATGAGGAGTAGACTTGTACAATGTCCACAGTACTTTCATCTACATCAAAATTTCTACAACTTGACAATCCTAGTGAACTATAAAGCATTCATAAAAATTTTATGCAGGATAAAACTTTCAAATATTTATTTAGGTCTAATTCTATAACAGACTAGTGCTCAAAATATTTGCCCTAATTCATCTAATGTCTATTTGAAATAACCTGGAATTGATTAGAGAAGGGAGATCTTTTTTGGAACACAGTTTTGATTACTTTGGGGCCCTTCATAATTTGGAAAATTAATAAATATTATTGAAACTAATGATTACTTCAGATATCCAAAGGAGGAAAGATATATTAGATATCACCAGATCTCCTGATTAATATCCATCAGTAATTAACTAATTACAACTGTTAATATTTCTGTTCTCAATCTAAATGTTGAGTGCTTGGATGAATTTTTCATTTCATTTACTTGAATAAATCCAACCAACTAAACTGAGAATTAACACAAGCCCAATTTGTCACATCTTCATAATTTGTTGTGAAGCACATTTGTATTAATGTCCCTTGAATAACCATGGAAAGCACTTAATGTAATTAAAAAGTGAATGTGAGAGTTGGGTATAGTGATTCACGGCTATAATCCCAGCTTCTCCAGAGGCAGAGGCAGGTAGGTTGAGGTTGAAGGCCAACCTGGGCAAAGTTAGCATAATGTCCTATCGAAAAAACAAACATAAAGAAAGCAAAAAGGACGGGACATGACTCAAGTGGTAGAGCACAAAAAAACTAAAAATCAAAAAACCAGAAAGCTAAATGAAAACTGATATTATAAATTATTCATTTAGAACTGTAGTTTTACTCTGCATTCACAAATTTGCTAGATTAAAATACAATCCCAGCAAAAATCATTTTGTTCCTTCACTACAGTAAATATCTAGTAAAAAAAAAATTGATGTATAACCACATCTAGTGGCCATAGTATAACATATGATAATATATGCACGTAAATGGGTAGAAATCCTCTAACATGGTTGTGTGCTAAATATCCAAATTAAAATTCTGTAAATTATTTTAAGATCACACAGTGTCAAGGGAATGTGAGTGGGCCGATAATTCTAAACATTTATTTCCGGTTTACCACCATGTTTTATTGCTTCTTAATTGTGGGGTATTTTAAACATCTCTGGAATATGGAGTTATGATTAGCAGAGTGTCATAATAAACTACTTGGAACAATTTTTTCTTTGCTTAGCGATTTATAAAATACTGATATATCTTCAAATTAGCAGTGTCTTAAGTTTGAAGAAATACACTAAGTCATAAATTACATATTAAAAAAACTTGCCTCTTAAATAGATAGATCTACTTGCAGAAACTTTCAAGACTGTAAAATTGATTTTTCAGTCAAGTATCAAGCATCAAAGGCAGAGAACAGAGGTTTTGCTTTATTCAATCATGAGAAGAGTCTATTCTAGTTGTTTATGTCTCAGTTTTCAAATCTCATCCCCAACTAAGACAACATGTGAAAACTCATGACACATTTAAAAAGCAAATTTAAAAGCATCAACTATAGTCTTTTAGCAGATTAGTATGCAGTGGTTTTTCTCTTTCTTAGTCAACTGTTAGAGTCCGTAAGCAAAACACATTTTAAGAAGTGAAAAGTCCTTGGAAAACATTCACATTAAACTTGACTTGTCTGGGTGGATGTCTAAAAGATTTCCAGGCGCAGTGCCTCACTCCGTCACTTTGTTCTCACCTACGTTTCAGGAGACCACTAAAGTCAAGTTCCCCTGCATCCTCTTGACCTTCACCACTGTCGTTAACAAAAGAAAAGCAAACCTGGGTTTAATGCTGAACACATACACAACAGTCTCCCCCAAACACTCTACGTATAAAGTATATGCAATTTTGTACTGCACACCAGGACTAATTCAACACAAACTATTTCTTTTCACACAAGTGACATCGTAAGTTTTCTAAGTATGTACTTGTGGAAAAGTAAACACGAGGAGCTTGTGTTACTCTATGGTTTCAGAAGACACAATTTTGTAGATTGCATATATAAAACTGCCTGGATTTGTGTTAAAACTGGGTAACACAAATGCACTTAAGCCAAGCAACACAAAGTACTTTGTTTTTGCAAGTTGGGGGCTCTGGAGCAAACCTGTGTGAAAAGCAAAGGACTTTTGCTGATCTCTGTTGTTCACATAAGACAGAGATTGGCTTGGAGGACAAAGTGTACCGATGTCACATATATAAGTACAAAGCCTTATATTCAAAGGTAACCTCTCTATGTCCATGGATAGATGAATCAGATAGTGTGATAACAACAAAGCATAAATATAGGGACAGTGCAGGGGTTTGTAAAAGATGCATTCCTTTCTGTTTTAAAGACCTTCTCTTGGCATTATGATCTTTTAATTTTCTCGTTAATACCTTTATAAATGCATTTGTCAAAAGTTTATCTTTGAGTTCCTGATGAACTCTTGAAAGTACTTTCCTACAGAGAAATGCATCTTAAATTAGGCATGCAGCCACTGTTGTAATTTCATATAAATCCTAAATAAATCAAAGCTACAGAGCTGACATTTAATGGCACTACAAATTTACTTACATGTTTAATTTTTTAATGAAGATTTTGTTTCCTGCTCTTTACAAATGTTAGTTATGGTTTCTAAGAAAGGAGTCTGTGGGTTAAAAACAGTGTGTAAAACATGTAAGTCATAAGAATGAAACTCAATGTGATTTCAAAACTTCGGGAAAATAGCAGGTATCTGGGGCCTTTTGATGTAAGCACATTTTTATTCTTTTAAAGCACAAAACAGTAGATCATGTCTTTCTCTCTCTCTCCTAAAATACACTTGGATGTTGCATGAGCAGAGTTTTAGACCTATGTGTCTGCTAAGTATGGGGTGAAGGAAGAAGGGAGAAAGAAAGCACGATAGGATTTGAAAGTTTGAACTTTTTTCAAATAAAAAAGTACCATTGACTGATCAGATAACATTCAATATCTTTAAAAAGTAATTGAAGTTTTTGTTTACTCATAATTTTTTGGGGGGAATGTGCCTTTCATTAATAGACTAAATCATTGTTTTATAATAATGAGATGATGTTTCATAATAATCAGGTGTTTTATAATTTGGGATGATTTTCCTTATTTAACATATCTGTAAGCAGACTTGGTGTCAGGAAGAAAAAAAATTACTCTCTTAAAGATTTATATAATGGCATCATTAAATGTGGAAGTCTCAGAGCTTAGAAAAAATTCATTTTTCTTCCTTGACTCCCTGATTTTTGAGCCTTGGCTGTTGCAAAAAAAATAAATCAAATACGTATCTAAATTTCTGCAGTATTTTTAATGCCAAAGATTCAGTGGGCTGTCTATTCATGAGGATAATACGATATTGTAAAGTGCTAACTTCAGTAAGTAGTTATTTGTGGGGTTTTTTTGCGGGGGGCACATGGTTGAGTTGCTCCATAAGTGAGTTCTAGGTGAAATGTAATATAAATAAGAATTTTCTGATATTACTTAATGAATGTTGTATGAAATGTGTCATTTTGCATATCTTCTTTAGCCATTTTGTGGAAAATAATGCAATTAAGGAGGAAGTCACCTATGACTAGCCTGAAAGTGTATCTTTCTAAGATAACCATGAGACCTGCAAAAATGATCTTCCAGTGACAAGGACATTCTAAACACATGCTTAATTGGGCATTAAACTCAAGTGTTTTCTGCAATGCCATGTTTCAGTATGTGATGGGTTTGACTACAGTGAAATGGAGTGTTCTCTTTAGAATACGGAGTATACAGGAAGGGAGGTGCATTTAAAAACCCTCCACTTCCTTTTTATACAAAAACTGTCTAGATTTCCCTTTTGAATTTACCTTCTCTTGAAGGCAGATCTGATGTCAATGTTTGGAGTAGTCCCAGTGGATTCTTTGAAAGGAAAGAAAACAATAAAATAAAAACTCATTAAGAAGGCAATTTTGCATTCAGTTCTTTTATAAGCTGTGGGGAGTCTTCAGATAGAAGAGTGCTAGGTGATGGGGGATGGCTGTCTTCCTAGGGGGGTGGGGAACTGAGCATCACTCCTCATTCTCCCACATAAAGGGCCAACAGAGGGACTTCAGGGGTTACTTTGTTATGTTTGCCATTCCACCTGCCTGCCCACTAGAATCACCCAAGGAACTTAAAAAACATTCTGCTGGAGATTTTGACCTATCAGCTCAGGGAGGAATGCCTTGAAAAGCCCTTCAGAAGTTCCTCAGAGAAATCTGGCCAGGGTAAAGCAGCATGCCTGGGATCACATTCCTACTTAATACAGAAGTCTCAATAGCATCCTGACCCATGATCATTCAGGCCTTGCTTGATCTCTCTCAGACTAGAAACCTCAAGACTGCCTCAGGCTGTCTACACAGATCTATCTAAATGAAATAGCTCATCCTGATGTTAAGACAAATTCAATCCCTCATCATTTCTACCTTTGATTCTAGTCTGCCTAAATGCTGCTGCCTTTTCTTTTCATCTGAGACAGTGTTCACTATAGCCTTGACCTTGCTATGTAGCCCAGGCTGTCCTTGAACTCATGATCCCCCTGCCTCAGCCTCCTGGGTCCTGGGATTACAGACATGTACCATCATACCCAGTACTAAATGCCTCTTGAATACATGAAAATGACTTTTCCTTCTTTTGTGTAACAGCCCTTCCCCTCTCTACCACAAGCCATGTACGCTTGCCTTCCTTAACTCACACACTTAAGCTGGACAGGGCATGGTTTCTGGATTCTTCCACCTGGTTATCCTACTCCAGAAGGGCACCAGGCTTAGGTGTGGTGCCCATGGCCACTGGGATTTGAACTCAGGGCCTCACAGTTGCTAGGGAGGTGCTCTATCACTTAAGCCACTTCACCACCCTCACTCCAAGTATGGAACAGGAGAGAAGTGTAGAATTGGATTGTATACCCCTTGTAATAGCCCCTTTTTAAATCACAGCAGCTTTGTTTGTCTTTTGCAGCTACATTGCATTTTGGTGAATTCATCTAAAGTTTACAATCTTTGTTGCCAAGTCTTCTTGCCCATTGTATAGTTATAAAAGCAGAGTTTTCCCAAACATAAATATACCTCTTTACATTTATCCCTATCAGGGGCAGTACATGGAACAATACAGATAGAGAACTTCCATATCTTACATTAGGCCTGATAAAGCTCCTGGGTATCCTAACATCCTTATACCTTAAGACTTTTCTCCTTATACCTGCATGGGAAAGTGGCCCCAGTGAAACTAGTACATTCACTAGCAGCAAAAATGCCATCATCCCTTATCTGGCAGAGAGAAGGAATACAGATAGCATGAACAAGAGATTCTTAACTATAAAACTTCCCAGATCCCACTTTAAAATTATCCCATAATAACATCATCATTCAGTAACATCATTACTGAAACTACCATAATCAGAAAACACACAATTTTAAAGGAAAAATTGCCTGCCCCCTCAAATCTCATAGTGTTAAATGACATTTTTCTCCATCACTTCCCACCCTGTAAAAGAATTTATTTAGGCAAGAAGCTCTCTTACCGTGCACTTCAAGATCAAACGAACAGCTGTCAAACTTATCCTTGTAGGTGACCTCACACCGGTAGTTTCCTGCATAATTCTCTTTGGCCTTGATAATCTGCATCTCGAACGTGTATGTCTACAACGAAATGCATCCAACATACTGTAGAGCTGTCTTTCAGTTATTTACAAGATCCCTCAGCATTGGTTTAAACAAATGACTGTATCTTTTTTTTCTTTTATTCATATATGCATACAATGTTTGGGTCATTTCTCTCCCTTCCCCCGCCCCCTCCCATGACTGTATCTTGGAGTCCTATACCAGCAGTCTCAACATAGGAAGATAAATATGACCCACTGATCCTTGGCACAGGAAGACAATTGAAAAAATGAAGATGTTAGGAATGGTAACTCCAGAGAGTTTTCTGGAACTGGAATCTCTCAAAACTAAACCAGAAATGGCTTCTTATCCACACCGGAGGAATGAGCTAGCTGCACCCCTGAGCCAGGGGTTCATGGCCCTACCCGAGTTTGCCTCTCAAAGGTTTCCTTCAGCTGGAGATGCTTCCCAGCTTTGCTGGCCAGATCCATCCATTTCCCTTTGAACCACTTGATCGTGGGTTTTCTAAGAAGATCCTCAGCCTTGACTTTGGCTATAAAGGTGATGTTTTCACCTAGGAAAAAACACAAGGGATTCAACTTGTGGCTTCAAAACTGCCATTTGTTTTGCTTTTAACTGGAAGAAGTTGACACAAGTCCACACCTCGTAGACTACAAAATTGTGCAATGCATTGTCCCTGCTTTTTGAGGAGTTCCCTGGAGGTTTTGCTTTTGAGATTTATGGAGGGGGGAAAAAAGAGTAATGGGGAAATTGGTAGAAATAATTCTTATATGTGGATTTACATACATATGGAATAAAAATGAAGACAAATATATGTATGGACTTTTTCCTTACATCTTTTTAGTTATGCAAGGTGATGGGAAGCCTGGAATTATATGACTAAATGAAACGGATGTGTTTGAGTCAACTCTCTGTGTATTGACTGATTAGGCCTCAGACATCAAAAGTAGCCTGGCCACCAGCCCAGCACTTCAGTGTCTTACAGGAACATGAGAGGAGCCAGCATTTCTGTTTGCATAAAGTGCCCTTCTACATGCTAGACCTGAAAGAAGTAATTCTGGAATATAGTTAGCTATGTGCTCATTTGCATGATATTTGGTAAGTATCAACCTCTGATTCTGAATCTAACATAGTTCTTATATGAATTTGTCTAGTGCAGATTTTTGAGCCCCTAAGTTCTTCTGTAGCTCAGCGCCCTGCCTGTCTATTGCCTTCATGTCAGGTGGCTTTTGTGGTTATCTGTTTAATTTCTTCTTGCCTATTCCTCTCTTTAGACTGAGTACTCATAAACTGCACTCAGTATTTGGCACAGTGTCAAAAAATGGGACGTGTGTAGTTAATATTTTTGAATGGCTATTTCTGAGGCCGACCAATGTGTCTGACAGAGCACACCATAATCATTGTGATCACATTGTGGGATGGGTTGTATCATAGCAACAGCAGACACTGGCTAAAGCTCTACGCTATGTGAGGTACTGTTCAAAGCTCTTCACATGCAGGTCTTATTATTAGCTCTCATTTTACAGATGGGAAAACTGAGGCATAAGGAGGCTAAATGGCCCATCACAGTGGCAAAAAGTAGAACCAAGATCTGAACCCAAGCCAAATGGCTCCCTGGTCCACGCACTGGACTTCTGTGTGCTAAAGGGTATTGAAATATAGGTGTCACTCACTTTGTCAGTTGAGGTTTATGGAGGGAAGATTTAGTACATATACATAATAAAAAGCAAGATTTAGTATATACAAAATGGAATATCATTGGACCATAAAAAATGAAGTGCTGGTAATGTGAGCAGACCGCAAAACCATTACACTAAGTGAAAGCAGTCAGCCACGTAGTATATGATTCCATTTATATAAACTATCTAGAATAGGTCAATGCATGGAGACAAAGCAGATTAGTGACAGGGCCTGGGGAAGAGGGGACAATATGTATGAATGCTTAGTGAGGTATGGGGTCATTTTGGGTGAGGGAAATGCTCTGAAGCTAGCTAGAAGTGGTGCTTGCACAACACTGCGAATGTCTAAGTGCTATGGAACTTCTCAAATCTTTCAAAATTAAAATGTTGATTTTATGATATGTGAATCTCACCTCAAGAAGAATGGAAAAGGGCTTGGTCTGGTAGAGTAGCTCGGTTGGTAGAGTGAATCGTTAGAATGTGTAGCAAGTATGAGGCTCTGAGTTCAAACCCCAGTACTGCCAAAAACCAAAAACCAAAAACTAAAAAACCAAAAAACCAAAACACAAATACACACACACACACACACACACACAAGGAAAAGGGAAAATTGAATGCTGGGTACTCACCAACTTTCACTGTTCCCGACTGAGGTTTTTCAATGAGCAGGGTGGACAGCTGAGAGTTGGCATTTTGCTTATCTTGTTCTTCTCCACCTGCAGGTGGCTCACTAAGAGACCAGTCTAGTAAGCAGAAAGGAGGAAACGGGTCATTTCTGGGCTGGGTTCCTCTTAGGCAGACTTACCTGAGTTTGCTGTTCTCATCAACACTGGTTCTTTTCCTTGTCTAATAAACCTAGATAAACATAACATTATTCTTTCTGACTCCAACAGCCATCAATAGAGAGGGACAGATTTCCATTCTTAACAGGGATGTCACTTCATGGCCCGACGAAGGAACATTTTCTAACTCCTGGAAACAGTGAAACTTTTCAGGTAAGTCGTTAATTCTGCCTTTGTTTCCCGGTCCTGTCTGTCCCCTTGCTGGTGAACACAGTCAATCAACAATCTGGTGACTGAGTTGTGGGCCAAATTATACAACAGAACTCTGTAATCTGGAAGAGATGGACCAGCTTAAGGGTAAGCTGTCTGACAAGGATCAGAGAGCACGGCCAGGCCTGGGAGGCCTTACTGTCCTGTCATTGGACAATTGTATTCATGTTGTGTAGACGTGGCCATAGTTTTCCAAGTAAGTAACAGGATTATGGCCTGTGGGTTCAAATTTAAAGACTAGGAGGATTGTCCTGCAAAGAGGAAAACAAACAAACAAACAAACAAACCACCACCAACAAAAATCAAGAAGAAAAAAAGAAACCAGAAGACAGAAAAGCTGAAAATGAAGCTTACTTCGCATTTTCTAGTTTGTATTTGGTCGATATTAGTCTGCAGTCATTCATTGGGTAGGGCAGGAGAAAGAACTGCAGACAGAAACTCCCTCTGCCTCTGAGCTGAATGCAGAGTTCAAATTTAGCCACTTAATAACTGGGGAAAAACGCATGGTGTGCCAACTTTCTACTTGTTAACATTTCTTGGAAATAAGGAAGGTGCATATTTAATTATTTTAGTTTTAATGTATTAATCATGCTCATTGCTAGATATTTCTAACCATGAGAGACCATTTTCACAAAGAAGTTAAGCAAAGTAGTTTCATGATTATGCATTGTTTAATCTCAAGTTAATATTAAAAGTGAGTGTTATGTGTGTCTATGATGTTTAGAACAGGAGGATAGGTATTTTATTGTTTTGTTCACTTCTATACATGCAGTGCCTATAAGACTGGCTGGCCACAAGAGGCCCCAAAGAGGATCATATTGGGCCCATAGCACAAATTTGTTGGATGAATGAATGACTAGATAATCTCAGAATTTTAGCTATAACTGATAGGTTGCATTGGAATGTGTTTTATCAACTATATTTTAAGTTCTATGCAATGGTGAATTATTATAACTTTAGCATGTTCCAGGAATGGAGACTTGATCTCTGCATATTTGTTAAATGTTAAAATTGATAATTGTAATCAAACAAACAAACCTGTGGTGTATGTGACTAGATTCTTGAACGTGTATGTGTGTTTCATGCAAAATTAATTGTTTCTCAATACATTAGTTTTCTTATAAGAGGAAATGTAATGAAAGATTGCTTTTGTAAAAGCTGCAAATGGAATAAAACAAGGATTAGAATCAGTACAGCTTCAAAAAATGAGGTCATTAGTCACTGTATTAGGATGGGGTCAGGATGCTTTGTCCTGGTGTGCGCTCACCTGAATCTTTTCTCTCCAGGGCTCGACTACCCAAGCCTGAAAGGAAAGCACGATTTGGAGGATGCAAAGGTGTGGGAAAAAGGATGGAGGTGGAGTGCTGACTTCAACCTTCTAAGAGTCTCCCAAACCCTGTCTCTTTTGGTGATGGAGAGAAAAACTCTAAGTTGACTTGATTGGAAAATCATAGCACTCCAACTATGAGAATGTCTATGAAAGTATATTTCTTCTTTAAAACTAATGATACAATTTAAAACTCTGATCATCTAAATTTAAAGAACAGGGGAAGAGGAATACGAATGGGTATCAATGGAAATAGAAGACAAACATTTTTGGCCTTCCTTTTTTGTTTTTTTTACTGGAGATTGAATTCAGAGCTTAGTGCTTGCTTGGCAAGTGCTCTACCACTTCAGCCATGTCCTCAGTTCATGCACCTAAAATTTATACCCAAGATTTACTAGTCTTAATTATCTTTATTTCACAAAGAAGGCTTCCTTTCGAAAGTTTCTCATGTAACACAACAGTTAGTATCATTAAAGCCGATGCTTTCCCTCTTGGTGCTGACCCAGCAAGGTGCCTACTTTGCTAACCAGTGACAAGCAGGACAGGGCAGGGAGCATCCTAACCTGGAGGTAGGGCGCTAGGCGGGGACACTTCTTCTTCCTCTGAAACAAGAAACAGGAGTGAAAAGTCAAGGTGAAAAGGACTTCATCCCAAGTAACCTGAGAAAAGAGAAGTCTGAAAAAGAAGAGAAACAAAAAAACTACACAAAGCATTTTTGACTGCTGAGAAAGCCTTCGAAGACTTTGCACCTGCAGGTTAAACTTGAATAGTTCAGTCATAAAGCCAAAAAGGAGGAAACAAAAGACAGGAGAGTCAGAGAATCCCAATGGAAATGGAGATGAAAAAGTGCAAGTGACTGTATGGCAGGAAAAAATTGATGCTGAAAGTCAAACCCTGTTGGAGTCAACAGTGGAGGTGTTTTTCAAGTCTTATTTCATGACCGAACTCAGTGACAGACGTAATTCATACGTCATACTCATTTGGACACAAGGTAAAAGCCGGTAGGTACTGGTGTGAGAATTTATTTCACCCAGAAAATCCCACAGTTCCTTTTCTGTATTTAAGAAACGAAAGTCAAAATGAACTGATTTGTCTTACTAAGTTTACCAGGGATTATTTTAGGAGCTCTCTAAGCATTTTCCCCAAGAATGTATTAAAATATCAGCCAATACTGTACAATTTCTTGTTATTTATTTTTTTTGCACATTTATAAAATTCAAAAATGTCTTTCAGAGGCACTGACATCCCTCTTTCCTAAAATATCTGAGCAGCAGAGTTCATATTTTAGATGCTTAAAGAGGCATTTGGTGCTACTGGAAACTTCGCCCCTTCCTTTTCAAGACATGAAGACTTGTGTTGTATAAATGATAATTATTTTGCACTAAAAGCTCTAGCAAAAGCGTGAACTTCAAAATATAAAACTATATAACTATATAAACAGGAAAGTTTTCCAGTCAAATTCTGCTGAATTTGAAGAGTCTGAAGTGTGGGATGGTTCCTACCTACTATGGAAACCAGGTTCTATGCTGGCAGGGAAATTGAATATGCAAATTTTTCAGATTGTGTGCAATTTAATAACATGAAAGACATAGCACCTTACCAAAAACACAACAAAACAAAAAATACAGTACGCAATTAATATTTCTTTTTTTTTCTATTTAAAAGTGACTACAGTCAGAGTGTCATAACAAATGCCTGTAATCCCAGTGCCTGTAATCCCAGCACTCAGGAGGTGGAGCCAGGAGAATCAAACATTTGAGGCCAGCCTGGACAGCACAGTGAGTTCCAGGCCAACCTGAGCTGCATAGTGAGACCCTGTCTCAAAAATCTGAGGAGTAAGGATGTGACTCAGTGGTAGAGTTCTTACCTGGCATGCATCAGGCCCTGAGTTCAATTCCTAGCACCACAAAAATCAGTAAGAACAGAAAAATGACTATAATGAAAACCTACACATCTGCTTTTGCCTTCCTGGGCTGTCACATACCTTAAGATCACAGCCTGGGAACAAGAGGCCATCTCCCCCTGCCACATACAAGTGCAATTCACCAAAGCAGACCTGTGCTTGTTTTGAGGTCATGGGAAAAATATAAAAATGATTTTTTTAAACAACTGAAGTTTCTAGCAAAGAACTCCTGGAGAGCAGACCTAGGGAGAGATCCCACCTTGGGTATCAGGGGCATGTACAAAAACACTTGGGGATGTGGGAGAGCCTGCTGTGGAATGGCAGGAACCCCAGATTCTTGAAACCTTCTGGACTCTTGTAGGGAAAAAATTACTTTTGTCTATAGTTTATTTTAAATTGCCTGTTTAAATTAAGAATTTAAAGTATATAAACTTGAGACAATTGCTAAGATTTTAGAATAAAGATCAAAAGTATGTAAAATAAAAATTAATGTGACTTGTAAACAAATATCCATTAAATACTGGTATGATATCTTTTTTGAGGTAGACAAATCCATGAGTAATTGGTTGTAGTAAATATTGGTATATGTGACCAAAATAACAACAAAGACAGCACATGGAAGACAGGAACAATGGTTAACATTAATTTATCATGTTTTAAAATATTTAATGTGTGTGTGAGAGTGCGTGCATGCATGCATGCGTGCGTGTGTGAGGTGCAGGTTACTGGGGATTGAACAAAACAGGGCCTCAGGCAAGTGCTCTACCACTTAAGCCACATCTCCAGTCCTTTGCTTTTTAGCTTGTTTTTCAAATAGGGTCTCTCTCTAATTTTGCATAGACTGTCCTTGAACCTTGATTCTTCTACTTCCTACTTCTGAATAGCTGGGATTACAGGCATGCACCACCATGTCTACCATTTGATTAATTTATCACATTTTCTTCATGAGAGACACATGCCATCACACTGATGTTTATGAAATTAATATTCATTTTATAAAAAATGTATATTTAACGAGTTTTCCCCCCAAACCTGCTAAATTAATGTTGTATCCTACAATGGCTGTGCCCTAGGATTGAAAAATACAGTGATATTAGTTTTCAACAAAGTTCATTACCAAGAAATAATGAAATTAGAATACATAGAAAAGGCACACATTTTAGTAGATGGTTGATTGACACCTAAAGGTAAATTACATAAAAATGTTATCATTGCTGGTAAAAAAACACCAAGAAAATGTTATTGCAGGTGTAAAGGAACCTGAATGAAGAACAAAAAATTGGTCATTCTTCTAATTTTGAAATATTGCATCATTTAAGAGAATGTATGTTCGAATATCTGCTGGTTCACTTCCTCATCATCTGCCAACCACATTCATGCCAGAGGAAGACTCTTCATGTCTGGTTAGGTGAGCTATTTAATACACAGGGGTCAATCAGGAGAGTTTATATGGTAATATTAATACCTGGGAAAAAAGTAAATTTATATTTCCCTTGAAGTGAATACCCAAAGCTATTATTTTTCTGGAAGAAAACCAAAAAGAAGCAGGAACTGTCCCAACTGGTCTTCCCCAAAAATATACTCTCTAAACCCATAAGATTTTTAAAAATGAAGTTTTTTTTTAAACCTCAGACTTAGGCATCAAACTGAGTTTTGACTTTCAAGGTAATCTCTGATTCTAATGCTGCTAGCTCTTTTGGGACCAGGCACAGAACCACTTTGGGAACTTCCTGTAGAGCCAACTATTAAGATCCCAAAGAGTCCCAGTCTCATTGCCCTGTGTTCACACATAAGATGGTTGGATGCCGGTTGACCAAAGAAAGATAGAATCATACTCGATCAACCACTTTATTCTGTACACAAGGCCCTCTGTGATCCTTTGTCTGCTTCTCAAACTGAAATATACCATCTTCTATTGATGATTATTCTCACTAAAGCAAAACTTGGCTCTAAGAAGATAGGACTTCAGGCCCAGATTCATGCTTGGCCCACAGGCTACATTTCCTAAATACCTGCTGAGTAAGTGAATGCTTAAATAAAAGGCAAGTCTTTGTCCCCACTGAGGTTATTGAAAAAAATCTATACTTAGCATCACACTAATGTGCCACCTGTAATGATTCTGTAAGAATTCTAAGCCACAGAAGCATCAATTTTATAAAGGTGTTGGTTCCCAATGTGACTACACTCTAAAAGGGATTTACACATCTAATTTCTGGTTTTGCTGTTTGGTTAAGTACATTTCTTTGTACTGTTTCTCAATTGCTTCGATTGCAGGAGACTTTGCCTGGGACCCAGGACAAAATGGTCAGTATTAAGGGAACAGGATAGCTGGATGGACAACAAATCCAGAGGGAAACAAGCAGAAAGATTAAAACCCTTTCCTGGCAAATCAGCCATTTCCAGACAGAGGCTTTCAAATAAGCTTGAAGAGGTTAGCAAATCTAACCACAAACACTACTTAATTGGAACCAAACAACTCTGCCACTACTCTATGTATCTCTAAATTATATTTTTTTACATTTCCATGCTGTCTCAGAATCAAGCAACCTGGGAAAGATGTTAAGGTTGCACTACTATGAAAAGCATTCTTCAAAGTGATACTTTGGATCTATTCCTTGAATATACTTCAGTTAGATAAAGGATTGGTTAAAGTGAATGCTAGTGAAAGGAACCAGGATAACTAATGAGCTAATCACCAGACGTGGCCAGGTGCAGTAGCTTTCAGCAAGCTGGTCTTACAGCAGAGGTCATCCATCTGTTCTGTGCTACTGATTCATTTTGAACCCCTGTTGACTACCAGTATGCATCCTGGTCAGCAAACCTGTTGAGTGGAAATAAAAATCTACTCTGATTACCATTGTTGGTATGGTCAGTGGGTAAGCCAGCATGGAAACTCAACTGTGGATTCATTTTACAAGTATGTATTGGGTGATTGTCATGTGAGGTCTCTGCCAGATACGAGAGGGAATAAGACGAGGGACCAAAGAGGTGTTAAGGCATGGTGCCTGACCACCAAAAGGCATACAGCCGGTGAGGAAAGGAGTCAACCGTTAATACGTGATTAAGTGGAAATGAGTGAATGACAGAAGCAACAGGTCTAAGAGAAGTCAGCTGGAAGAAGGACAGGTGGAAATGAGCCAGGTTAATCAAGGGTAAGCCGAACAAAGGAGTGAAACCTGACTTTTTTTTTTAACCTTATAGTTAAAAAATTAGATGGACTGAGAATAGGAGGAGGGAGAGAGAGCAGGGGAGAACATTCTAGTTAATATTGGGAGAAAAGTGAAGTGACATCCATTATTCTCACTTAGCCCTCTCTAACCGAGACAGTGATATTTATTGCAACTACTATTTGCTTAGGTGTTTTCTTTGAGTTTTCCTGTCCCTGATGAAAGTGGGTAGAGCTGAGGATGACTATAAACTTAGGGAGAAAAAAGCCCTTCCATTTACCTACCTTCCTTATATAGGGATGTCACTTTCTTCCTAGATTGATTTGGCTTCCTGGGTATATAGGGCAACTCTATATACAGAATGTCATGAACCTGGGTGTGGGACAGTGTGTGGTTATGGGCTTGCTTATCTTCTGCAAATGTAAGAAAAATGCTACAAATTTCAGGATATGCTAGTCATTTGGCCTTTTTCTTTCATCATGCTGTGCTCTCCATAAAGAAAAGAGCTTTTGATGGTTGGCTGCTTTTACCTTAGAGGAAACTTATTTAAACATACAAGTAAAATGTGATGACCTTTTCAGATTAAGGGTGAGGCGCAGGCTTGTTTAAACCTTGACAGCTCGCCCTCTGGGATTATATCACTGGCTCTGTTGGTTGAGCCTTACAGCCTGGTCCAAACACCCTTCCATATTTGGAACCAAAGGTGTATTCTGTCAGCCTTGTTGAGAATACTGTTACAATACTTTCAGCCAGGATGTCCAAACCTCCTTGAACCCATCTCCTGGAAAGGTTCCTAGGAGTTTGCATTGTCTGCGTTCCATAAGAAAATAACCTTCAAACTGTGGTTCACATGGCTAAGCTAAGTGTTCATGTTACCATCCATGGGAGCCACTAAAGGTCAAGGACAAAGTGAGTATACTACCATTATGTGTTCATTTTATGACAGTTCAAGTTAGCTGAAGAAAAGTGATCCAATGTACTGAAAGAAAGAAAAAAAAGCATTTTACTAATATATAGGAGACAATAATATCACGGGAATTAGGTTAAATAGGACATACCAAGAACAGAGATACTTAACATCCTTTGAGCAGAAAAAGAAACTTCTTGTTGCAGTCAGGACATAATTATTCCAAAAGGTAAACTGCATTATTCATTATACAAATAAAAAGTTAGCATATCAAAATGATGATACAAACATATAAAGAAAAATTGTCAAATTTACTCCCATGAAAATTAGTATTTCATGGAATCACAGAAGAATATGATATTCTTCCTTTTCTAACACTTCATTTATAAAATCTAAATGTAGATCAGTATTTTAGGAATAAGTGAGTTTCCAACTCAGTAAAGAGCATCTTGATGTCTGCAATAAGGTTGTCTTTTCAATCTCTATAAATCATCGTAAAAATCTACACAAATGCATAGTGTAACAAAGTGAGAAGCTATCTTTCAAAATTACTAGTGGCACCTGTAACAGTTCATATACTAATATGAAAACATTTCAATTTCTTTAAAAAACTCTGAGTGAGTCAGATAATTTTCCCAATTTCTATAATCCTAGGATCAAACACCTCTTTTCTTTTGTATGCATCAGAAAACTTGGTAACTACCAATTAATTTGTTGGCGTCTCACAGCAAATATCTTGCGATTTTTAAAACCATTGTTGCTTTTCTGTTGGAAATGTGAGCAACGGAAACTTAGCAAAGCTTTAATCTGTCATTATGCCTACTGGGCCATGCAGATAAGATGCAAAAGAAGAGCTCTAAACCACAGTGAGGAAAGAGGATGTGGAGAAATTCTAGGGGTCCACCACGACGGTCATTACTGACCTCTTCCTGGTCCTAACGTTGCTGAACTCAGCCTCACCCTCCCTCCCTCCAACTCACCTTTTGCTGGTGCAGTTCCCACCTCCTTCTCTTTATTTGGTCCTGTGTGGAAGGTACAAGCACACTTTTAGAAGTGTCTTAAAGCATTTTATTGTGTAATGAGCAACAGAGTGGCGAGGGTGGGAGGAAATCAATGACCACATTGATGATACTAGGTACTCATCAGGCTGTACTTGAGTTATGAATTTGGGAATTACAATTTAGAGTCATACTCAACTTTAATAGAAGCGATTACTAAATCTGATCAGTTTTATAAAACGTATACATAAAAACATGCAATACGAGGTTTGCTAAAATGCACTCAGTTATACTGCGTCCACATTATATGACATGCTGGAGTAGAACTGAGTATACTCTGCGAGCCACTTCATTTTAGACCCCAACAAGGAACTGACTTTTTAAAGAAGGTTGATCCACGTAAAGGACTCCAATAGCTGTTACGGGAAGGTATAAAATGTAGTTGTACAACGCATGCAGTTTCAAAGAGAATGTTTTGGTGTACATATGAGTCTTCTGGATTAGAGTGAGTAGCAGTAAACACAGTGACAGCAGATTTTATCAGTCAAGACTGTGTAGTTTGCATTTCTGTCTTCAAAGTCATATTAGACACCCGCAAATGGTATCTATTTTGTGGTAGATATAAGAAAATAATTGTTTCAGGAATGACTTCTCTGTCTCTCTCGGTTAACTAAGAAGGACAACTTAGTAGAGTTTTGGGGGGAGACATTTTAGCCACAGGTCAATATTGTGCAATGAATATGAAATATAACATAGTAAGGGAAACTTGTAGAGTGGCCCAGTGCACCAACTGGTCTGAAGAACAGAAGGGAAAAGTTTTTCTGTAATGGCCAAGAGGTTCTCCATGTATTCACTACCGGCCAAAATACGTCTACATGTGCAAGCAGAAAACATATCAAGGAAGAAGAAGATCCTAAGGAGACTCACACAGCTACACTGGTTTCAAGATATACAGAAAACTCAATCCAAGCTTGCCCCTGTTTGAACTCTTACAGCACTGAGCCTGTTTCATTCATTTGGACACACAGCATATTCTTCTATACTATTTAAGGTTTTCAGTGTGTGATTCCAGTATTCTTAGCTGAACAAAGGGGATTCTGTGAGCAGCTAGATTTCTTGAACAGCTCTCTGAAAAATAAGCTCTGGGATGGAAAAGCGTTGTAATCCCCTCATAAATTTCCACTGAAAATACCAGAAACTGGGGCCTTATTCAACTCTTGCTTTCACTTGTGCTGAACCAACCTACAGTGACCTCCAAACCCCTGGTTTCATATCACATTGTCAATTCAAGTAATCAACAGTTAATCCCATGCTGCCTTGTGGGAAATGATTCTTATAGTAGTATTACCAGCCATCTCTCTCTCTCTCTCTCTCTCTCTCTCTCTCTCTCTCTCTCTCTCTCCACCTCTTTGTCTCTGTCTTTGGTGAGGGGTTTTGAACTCAGGGCTTCATGTTTGCAAAGCAGGTGCTCTACTACTTGAGCCACACTTCCAGTCCCTAACATCTCAATACAGTGGGTACATTTTATTTAATTGTTCTCCAGGCTGTATTTTATTTTCTACTTGGCTGTAAACAAGTAATATAGGAAAATGGTTTCTATCCAGAGCTTCGTACTTATCTGGTACAGTACATTTGCACCTAGCTATCAGCAAATATCGGTAGACAGCCCTGCATCCTTCTTGAGGGTTAGAGTACCCTTGGTTGTGCACATGGCAAATACCCAGTGAGTAATTCTTGCCAGTTTCTCATCCTCTTTAAGGAGGAAGAACGATGAGTGTTTTGGTGTTTTCACGGGGAAAGATACATGATTTGGGTTGCTTCCTTCTTGGGAACTATTTGTTGGGGGCAGGCAGACAAATGATTCTGCAGAGTCACATCAAGTTTAACAGCCTACTTGGGCTTGCTGTTATTTCAATCCTGTTCTCTTCCTTAGGTCTATGTCGATGCCACTGTGTCCACCTGCCAAGGATTTTGCTTTAAAAAAAAAAACAAAAAAAAAAACCACATCATTTTTTTTGTTGCCCCCTGGTGGACAATAGAGAACTAAGCCTTCAATACTGTGTTGCACCTCAGAGGCTCCCAAACCTTTCTGAAAACTCCCCCAAGGAGTTCCTGGAGGTACTCAATGGTGACACAGTCCAAGTTGGGAAGCAGCTACTGATCTTCCAGGACCAAGGTGGGGTCCACTGCTCATTTTCACTACATGGGGGGAAGCCCACAAATCCTTCAACTCCATCAATATAAAATTTGAGCAAAACAACAACTTATCAAGTGACTTTACTTTCTTCTTTTGGCAGTACTGGGGTTTGAATTCAGGGCCTCACATTGCTAGGCAGGTGCTCGACTTCTTAAGCCATCACCTCAGCTGAGAGGACTTTAAAATAATCATTCCCACAATGTGTATGAAGTGTCATTTAAATTAGATCTTTGTGCAAGGGGTACATAAACACATGCGTTATTTTTGGCTTGATCAACTTTACCCAGCGGTCATCATCAAAGGTCTCAGTAACAGATTAAAGCTCACAGCATCAGAGGAGACCAAAGCATGCTGGATGGAGTTCTGTGTTTGCAGCCCAGACATGGGAGGCAATGATTTACTTACCTTCAGGTGGCGGGGCTGGGGCTGGCACTTCATTTTCTAGAAATGGAAAGTGCAAAGGTTAGGCTCACTTCCCACAGCCCCTGGCTGCCATCTTACCTGGGTGTGCCAACACAGGGTCATCCTGTGGCTTCAAGAGCCCCAAGACACACTGCTTTTTTGGTGTGTGGTATGAAGTGAGGGCTGAATGGTATTATACTGGCGGTGTAGTTTAGTTTTGGAAAGAGCCCAGGTGAGACGGAAATCCAGGTATCCTTGCCACTTAGGTACCCCTCCAGGCAGCTGCAAACAGGACAGTGAACAGTGCTAAGCCTGTTTCCCCCGACTCTGGAAAAAGGACTACAAACCCCATTCTTATATGCACAGGGATGGCTGTGAGGATGAAATGAGACCCAGTGAGTGGCAGGCACATCCCGTATTGCCTAAGGTGATGTCGGTGCAGAAATGAGACCCTCTTTCCCCAGAGAACAAGGTGCCAAAGTGCTCAGACATTGTCCTACCCTCATGAAAGCCACTTCTGAAAAATAATGAGACCAAAGTCCTTTGCCTCTGAAGCCTTTTCTTTTATTACAAAGCAAGCTGCTGCTCACTGGGAAACAGAAGGAGCACTTCTCACAGTGGTTTGAGGAAATGCACATGTCTAGAGTAGATTTCTAACTATGCTTCCCAAGTTGTCAAAGCAGTGGCTATCCAGTATTGTAGAACAACCTGGCTGTGAGTCTGTTGAAGAAATTTCCATTAGACTATACTAGTTCCAAGTAGCCAGCAGCCTGAGTGTAAGATTCGCCTGTAAATCCCTGCAGGTGCTCTGAACTGGGAATGAGTGATACCTGAGTGAACCACCTGCTTCAATTCCAGGGTAGGGAGAGGCAGTTAATGAAGGTGACATCTTTTGAAACATCTTACACTAGATTATTAAATAAAGTATAAAGAAAAAGTAAATTCTTCACCACATGCTAAATTTTTTTTTCATTTTTCTTTTATTATTCATATGTGCATACAAGGCTTGGTTCATTTCTCCCCCCTGCCCCCACCCCCTCCCTTACCACCCACTCCGCCCCCTCCCTCTCCCCCCCCCAATACCCAGCAGAAACTATTTTGCCGTTATTTCTAATTTTGTTGTAGAGAGAGTATAAGCAATAATAGGAAGGGACAAGGGTTTTTGCTGGTTGAGATAAGGATAGCTATACAGGGCATTGACTCACATTGATTTCCTGTGCGTGGGTGTTACCTTCTAGGTTAATTCTTTTTGATCTAACCTTTTCTCTAGTACCTGTTCCCCTTTTCCTGTTGGCCTCAGTTGCTTTTAAGGAATCTGCTTTAGTTTCTCTGCGTTAAGGGCAACAAATGCTAGCTAGTTTTTTAGGTGTCTTACCTATCCTCACCCCTCCCTTGTGTACTCTCGCTTTTATCATGTGCTCACAGTCCAATCCCCTTGTTGTGTTTGCCCTTGATCTAATGTCCACATATGAGGGAGAACATACGATTTTTGGTTTTTTGACCACATGCTAAATTTGAAAAAAAAAATAAAGAGAGGAGAGTTTTCTATTATAGGTATATCATGAGATTCTAGAAGCCCTATCTTCACCTGTATCTGTGATTTTCTCTTTTTTTTCCCCAGCAAGTGACTCTGAACAAGCAGAACAATGCCTCACCCCAAGCAGTCTGGCTGAGCAGTCATCGCTGTGTGAACACTGAGTACCCTATTCTAGCCTAGGCAGGCTGGAATGAATGTAGAAAAATGAATGCCTTGCACATAACAGAAATCAGGAAAAGATCACAGCAGGGCTGCCAGGTTGCAGCTATGTCTTTTTTTCATCACTAGTTTTTGTGTGTGTGTGCCTGGTATAAACTCCAATTTATTGGTTTATTTGCCTAAAAATTAATTTCCAGTGTTTGGATTACCATTAATAAGTATATTACTATTTACCAATGATGAAGAAAAAAATATCTAACCAAAGGAGAAAAAGACATATAACCTTACAGGCTGAAGAAGATAACATGGCAGGATGTACTGCAATTCACAGAGAAGTGAAAACACAAGTGTCCCTTAGATGGCCTCAACAGGATTCCACATAAGGGAAGGTATCATTTACATCATCGTTAACCAGAAGCTGAAACCCTCAGTGAAGACATTTTCTTTTCAGAGATCAGAATGTAGAAACGGAAACTGAATAGCGACAGCTTGCCTTGGGGTGAGCTGTGACCGCATAACGATGAATATCAGAATACCCACAGCGAGAAGCTGGATTCTTTGACACAGTATCTTTTGGACTGAGCCCCTGTCATGTAGTGCCTAAGGATCTCTTCCTGCCTAAAGACAGCTCTCTGCCCCCTGGTCTCTGTTCCCTGTGGCTGCAGAAGTTAGTTGTACTACTCTGTTGCACCCTGTTATTCTACCTGAGGGGGTCTGTTACCTACTGGGTTGTGTCTATTCTCTCCAGGTTAGCATTCAAAGCCATGGTTAGTGCCACTTCCTTTGCTTTCCCTCCTCTTTTTTTTTTTTTTGGTGGCAGTGGGGTTTGAACTCAGGGCTTCATGCTTGCTAGGCAGGTCCTCTTACTGCCTGAACCACTCTGCCTTCCTCTCCCTCTCTTATTAAGACCTTGGGCCTTTCTATCCTGGTGCTGTATTCTCTGTTCCCCTTCTGACTTTCCTGTCACTGGAAAAGTGATGGCCTCCTTCTTTTCCCCATCACTTTTCTTTATTCTTCTGGCCTTCTGGACTACATCATAATACACTGTCTATTAACTATTATTTAATTAATTTCCAGTAGTCTCAGTGTATTTTTATTTCTCTCCAATTGAACAAAACAGGGCTGGACGCTAGTGGCTCACACCTGAAATCCTAATTACCTGGAAGGTTAGATTGGAAAGATGGCAATTTTAGGCCAACCTGGGCGAGTAGTTGTGAGACCCTCCATCTCTAAAATAAGTAGAGCAAAATGGACTGGAGGTGTAGCTCACATGATGGAGCACCTGCTCTGCAAAGTTTGAAGCCCTGAGTTCAAACCCTGGTCCCACCCTCAAAGAAAACCCCAAAGACAGGGATATTTCTTTCTTTTTCTATTTCCCTGGCACCTCATTTTATTTCTGGAAACACATTAAGTTTATAGTAATTTATTTTATTTTGTTTTTTGTGACAGAGACTTACCACCTAGCCCAGGCTGACCTTGAACTCAATCCTCCTAACTCCACCTCCTGAGTCCTGGGATTACAGGTGTGTGTTACATGTCCAGGTAAATTTATAGCAAATTGATTTTTTAGAAAAAGAATTAGGGCTGGGGAGGTAGCTTAGTGGTTGAGAGTTTGCCCAGTCTGCCTAAGCCCCTGGGTTTGATTCCCAGTACTGAAAAAAAAAAAGATTAAGAAAGCCTTCTTTAGGGTCTTTTTAGAACTATTACTTCAATTTCAGTGAATTGAATTGATTGACCAATGAAGTTCTATGGATGCTGCCCTATCTGTGGGAGCATGCCTCAGTGTTCCCAGCTAGGAAATGGAAATAAAAGACAACCTACTTCATAGGTGGTTGGCAGGAACGAATGAGTTACTGGGTGGATCATGGCAAATGTTATCTGTGCTTTATCTCTTCATGGTCACCATCATAATTGTCATCATTCTTACTCAGACGCACCTGAAAAAGAGACTCATGCCTCTCTACCCCTGCCACCTGCTATGCTCAATTTCCAGGTCTGTGGGCTGTGTGGTGTTATAATATGTTTGGAACTAGGGTGGGTGGCTAAAGAAGAGTTAGGGACTGGACAGAGGTGCAGGGCTCCTCCACCCCTACTGCAAAATAGGAATAGCCATTGTACTTATGGAAATTTATGCTCAGTATAGTTTCTACAAGGGAGATAAGTAGATCAGTCATCGATCAATCAATTGAGGTGAGGCAAAAAGGATAAGAGAGAGTGAGACAAAGAATTCCAACTTCATCTGGAGAGACAAGGAACCAGGAGTTTGAAGGCCAAATAGCACTTGACTGAGACAGAAAACTGTTAGCTAAAGGTGACAGTTAGCCTTGAAAGAGCGATGTATCTCTAACTCATACCTTTGTTTCTGACAGGTTCTGTTGTGCCCGGCTTTGCTACTAAAAATAATTTGCACATTCCCCAAACTTATTAGCTCTATCACAGTCATTCAGTGACAGCAACCTGGTACCCCAAAGACTAGGGAGTAGGTAGGAACACTCATGCAACTGGGATACGGTGAGCTCCCATCACAAACTAACAAAGACAAAGGAGGTTTTAAAAAGTGGTGAGAGGAGAGGAGGAGAGGAGATCCTGTGTTTAAGGATCTCATAGCTGTCTTTTAGTATGGGTTTAGTCCCTGACTCGCTCTCTTACAATATTCAAGACTCACTACTTCTATGGATCCTCCAGAGCACGGAAACCTGAGGATCTGATTTGATCCAACTGCAGATCTGACTCTGGAGGTCAGCGCTGGGTGCAAGATTCTACATTTTTAAGAGACTGCTGCTGGAGCTGCAGGACCATGACCCACACTTTGAGTAACAAAGCTCAGTCCAGGGCCTAAATGTCACCTGTTCCTTTCTTGTTTCACAGGTGGTCGTGAATGCCGCAAGGTTTACAGTAGAGGGGGACTTTTCTTCTCCCTGTGCTCACAAGCTTCTTGAGGACAAGGTCCATCTCCTCTTCCTTTCTAAGTTCCACACAGCAGGTGCTCCACAAATATAGTTGACTGACAGGCTGTTTCAACCCGCACAAAAGCCCTTTCTTCTGGCTGCCAAGAAATCAAGAGCCATCCCCTGGCGCTGCATGGGTAGCCTTCTTCATCTGCGTTACCCACAGGGAACACTATGTCTTGCATTGGTCTCCCTCCCACTGGCTGAAGGCTTGGAGGCATTTGCCCAAACCCTATCATTTAGATTTCCTCCCACTGTCAACACATGTTTTGCATTTCTTAACAAGGGCAGGAGAGCAATTAGGGCTGGAGTTTTGGCTCTCAGGAATAATATACCCCTTGCCTTTCTAAGGAATCCCCCCCTTTTAAAATTTGGACTGGAAAAGCAACTGCAGT